ATATAAATTCTATTTCTCAGGCATATAATGCAGATAAGGAAAGCATGGAGAAGTTCTAAAATATCAAATATTTTCACTGCAAGTAGTATATGCAGGAGGCTGCGTGCAAAGAAACAACCACATTCTATTCTATACTACCCAGTCTCTCTGGAAGAAATTCCAACAGCAGCCTGGAAAGCAAATGGAGTGTGGAGGACCAATTCACAAATTGCAAGCTTGGGAAAGAATAACACTGCTTAGAAAATGAAAGTCAATCAAGATTGGAAACATTTCACCTGTTTTCATTTAAATCTCCAATCTTTTTTCCCTGCTGGTTTAAGAAACAGCATCCAGCCTAGAGGGGCCGGAGGGAGTATGAACTCAGTATTTCAAAACAGCCACATTGACACGCTCAAGGAAATTTCCTGTGACTAAAATTCTTATTTGACTAAGAAGACAACCAGGCAATTGGATAATCTTCCAGTCACAACATCGTTTATGAAACTTAAAGCTATTATTTTCTATCATGTTTTTTGTCCAGCCTATATAGAAGATCCACTCTCATGAAGACAAAAGCTGTTTGTTTGTGTTTTTTTTAAAAAACCATCATGGAATTTATAAATAGGCAAATTACCTGAAATATTACTTGATTAGCCCCCTGCTTTCAATTAAATGTATATCCACCCTGTTTCAGAGCAGTAAACATTTACTGCAATATTAAAGACCTGAAAAGGCGATGGTTGTTGCTTTCACTTTTCATTCAACCTGTGCCAAAATTCCCCACGGTCATAAACACTCCTCCAGAGGACACAACCCAAACCTTTCTTATAAATTCCAAACCGCCTTATAAATAGCCTCTGATAAGTCAATGCTGACAAGCCAAGGGAATCAAAGAACAGAGTCACACTGCTTTACATTTAAGACTAAACCAGGTATTACATTTTAAGACAGGTATTAATTAAATATATCCAGAGTTTTCTAAAAGGAACAGTTAGCTCCTTGTCATGAATTCTTTGAAATCATTATATTTAAAAGTCTTATACAAAACTGAAATGCTTAAAATCCGAGAAATTTAACATGTCAATTCTGTAGCCATTAACTTAATGGATTAATGTCGTACTGACATCCTATATAATAAACTCTAACATGCAAATTGACCAAACGGCAGAACAATCAGTTGCTATGATGCGTACTGACCACCAGGGGGCAGACGCTCAATGCAGGAGCTGCCTCCTGATGGTCAGTGTGCTCCCACAGGGGGAGCATGGCTCAGCCAGTAGCCTGGTTGATGGCTGGCGAGTGCAGTGGTGGTGGCAGGAGCATTTCTGCCTCTTCTGCGGGTGGGTGGTAAAAAGCAAGGGGTCCCAGACTGCGAGAGCCCCAGACTGAGAGGGGAATATCTGCCTGCCAACAAGCGGGCATCCTCTGAGGGGTCCAAGACTGTGAGAGGATACAGGCCAGGCTCAGGGACATACCCCCACCAGAGTCGCCCACACACCAATGCATGAATGTTGTGCACCAGGTCTCTAGTATATATATATGAATTAACAGAACACAACCTCATAAAATTTTCAAAAAGATTCACTTTTCTAGTATTCCAATTAGAGACTTAACTATCATGAGGGTCCACATACTAGCTAATAAATCCTGTGCATCCTCTCAAGTAATCTTCACACCAATCGTACTAGGTTTAACAATTCCCAATTTAAAAATTACCATTATCATCTAATTTTATAGATACCAAATATGGCAGAGCCAATACTGGGACCCAGGCTTTCATGTTCAAGAACCCCTGCTCTATATCTGCTCTATATCCTGTGATCTTTTTTTTTCACAGGAATGATGGATGAACTGTACTATCTAGTCTCTGTTGCCTGGATTATCAATTTTTGTCAAAGCTAATCTGAATTAAGTGCATTAATCTGAGTCTATAGGGGATGGCCTGGGAATCCAGGCAGGTAATAGAATTAAAAAAATTACCAAATCCCTTTTGTTTGAATGTTGGAAATATTAAGTCAATAATAAGATATTTTGAACAACAACAACAAAAAAAGAATGTGGCTCTGTGATAACTCTGACCAAAACTAACCTCACAGGTTGATCTGATCATCAGTTCTTAATGGGGCAGGTCGTGGATGGTCATGGGTGGTAGTCCCTCAAACCTATACAAGTTTTACCTTAGCCTTAAGCAAGTCCTGCCCATTGTGCTTGTGCATGTAGGGTAACTCACCACAGAAATGCCAGGGCAAACCTCTTTTTCAGACCCCTGGAAGGCTTAACCACCCTTAGGGGAACAAACAATCTTGTTAACTATCCTGTAACTTGCTTTCTCTCATCTTCATGTGATCTTCCTTATGTACCCTCCTTAAATCCAGACGTATGAGAGGGCATGAGAGGGGGAGGGGGGCTTTGGGGGCGGTTAAGGTCACATATATAATACCACAATCAACAAAGAAAACAAAGAAAAGGCACTATTGTGAAACTGTCATTCTCCAGGTTTTGCGTCCTGACATGTCACCAGTCTGGCATAAATAAACCCAAATGCACTTTTATAAATATTCTCTAAAGTTTTTATGTTTTGTATGTTGACAATACACTCTGATTTTGAGTTATACAACCTCACATGGCATTGAAAGCCGCACGTGATCAATCACTATGGCTTTAGACTTTCTCAGTCTCTGTAGATGCCTCTGCCTATGACCTACTGCCATTGGTACCTGTAGCTCTCATGCCAGTGAGAAAGAAATCACCTCCCTTCCTTCAAAGGGCCATCAGAGGAATAGAGGAAAGTTACCTGGGTTACTTTGAGTAACTTCCCTCCTCTCCCTGGGAGGTGTTTTCCCCATACCCAACATTAAAAATCCTTGATCTATAGACAAATAATAAATAACACATATTGAGTGATTTATCTGAGCCAGGCACTGTTCTATGGACTCATTCAATCTTCACACCCAATTTATGAACTATATTAATATTACTATTTTATATATGAAGAAAGTGAGGCTCAGATAAATTAAGGGACTTACCCAATGTCAGACATCTAAAAAATGGGAGAGCCTGGCTTTGCCCTCCAAAAGTCTGATTCCAAAGATAGCACACTTCATCACCATACTACCCGGCCTCTCATTAGATGGTTGAAATAATTATTTTAAAAATAATTAAAACAAATATGAAAGAAATCAGCCTTAAAGGTACAGTAAAGAGACTCAAAGACTCAAGGAGTAAAAATTATTTCATGAATATAGGTCCATTCCAATCTAAAACAAACCTTGACTTATAACACTTTAATTTGGACCTAGGGATAGAAGGTTCTTTCTCTCTCTTTCTCCCCTCTCTCATCCTGTTCTTCTCCCTTCCTCTTTCTTTCTCTCTCTCATGTGTGTTGACTTCTGTTTCTTCAAAATTTTGGCCTTGCTCTAAACAATTGTTACAAACCAGTCTTTATTGTGCCCAAGTGCCAAAGTGCCACTATTGTATAAATCGCCAGAGTCTACCATGTACATTCTTTTTAGAACTTAATTGTCTATTTATTTCATTAAAAATAACAGTTGACATATCGCTTATTTGATTGCTTTAAAAATGATTAAAATCTAAACACTATGACTAAATGTAATGACATAAATAAACCTCATAAATATAATATGTAGGGGGAAAAAGCCAGATATAAAGAGTACAATGACTCAATTTATGTAAGTTACAGAAAGTATGGAAACAGGGAAACTTCCCTTCTGTGTTAATGCCATGGGGCACAAAAGGGTTTCTGGTTCTGATCCTATTGTGTTTTTTCTCGATCTGCCTGATGTTGCATTTGAAGAAATCCACTGAGATTTACACTCACGTTGATATACTTTTATACTATACATGCTATATTTCAGCGCGACGGTTTGCATTAAAAATCATGAAGTCATCCCAAACTCTCATTTTGCTAATTATAATTTAGCAAATTATACTTTTTTCTCTTCCAAAAAATATAATAAATGCTTCATAAAGAAAGCAAACAATATTCCTACATAACATTGTAAAATTACTATTTTCCTATATATGAGTTTTAAATGTCAAATTTATCAAGCTATCATTTATATACAGTAAAATTCATCTTTTCTAATGTACTGGACTATGACTTTTGACAAGCACATATATTCGTGCAACCGTCACTACCATGACGATGCGGAACAGTTCCATTATGCCCCAGATCTCCTCATTCCCTTTTGTAGTCAACCTTATGCCTCGTCACCCAGCCTTTGATAACACTGATCAATTTTCTGTCCTATAATTTGCCTTTTTCAGAATACCATATAAATAGAATCATACAGTATGTGTTCTTTTAAGTATAGCTTCTTTCTTTTAGAGTAATATTTATGAGATCCATTCATGTTTGGGATATGTAAGCAGTTACAACCTTTCTATTGCTGAGTTATAATGTATGGATATACCAAAACTGAAGAACATGTGAGTAATTTCCAGTTTAGGTTGATTCTGAATCAAGCAACTACATTCATACTTATGTTTTGTATGCGCATGAGTGACACATTTTGTTTTTAAATTCCAACTTGTCCTTTTACCTTCACAAAATATTTTCTTTATTGCCTTTCATCTATGGTAAGTCTGATACCTAGAGCATATACCAATCAGTCCAAAATAATATAAAATCAGAAACTGAATCAAATAGCAAACATCTTATAAAAATACATCAACTTTTGCAAATTCCTCCCTTAAAATATTTTTTAGCTCATCTACAGAATTAGGAATGAACTGTTGCCTAAAAGTGCTAGCTTCATTCAAAATTAGTTAATTTTGTTTAATTGTATAACTTTTAGAATAATTATATTACTAATTTGGATTTGAAGTCATAATCAACGAAGCGATAAGAGGTAAGAAAGGTGGCTTGAAAAGTGAAGTGTAATATGTCTTCCTAATTTCCGAATTGAACACATTATAAATTTCACCCAGCTGGTTAGTACTTTTCATCCATGATCCCTGGGATAATTTGAGTGACAAAATGGAAACATGGTTGATGTTACCTAGCATGTTGTGGTAAAGTGGAATGGCCCGTCCAAGGGTAGTAAATGCAGTCATGACTAGTGGGACCGCTACACCTGCAGGCAATTACAGAACAGAAAACGTCATTCTCCATTCACAGTGACATGCACACACATGCACCAGTGCTCACACATGGAGCCTGCAGGAAGAACATGGGAACCAAGCACACCAAGTACCTATCCATCAGGCCGATGCAGTCTTCAATACTTGAGCCTATGCACCTGCAGAAGATCCAAATTTTAAAAATACAAGGAAAACATTAGTCATTAAAAAAAAATCAATACAATAAATACCAATTGTGCAAAATTCTTAATTATAGTTATTAGGCAATTTTGGAACACCATGAATATAAAGGCAATGAGGATATTATTGCTGCATGGATACACAGGAATAAATTGCAAATACCATCCAAGTGGAATGCAAAGAAATATATCCATAGAAAAGGACATTATGCTGTATTTTGTAGGTAGTTTCCAAAAACATATTGCTAATTTCTAAGACTTTCTATTCATTTGCATCAATCATGATTATATGTCTTGATGAATAACTTGGTATTTCCATGGCTGATAATTGGTTTTATGCATATGTTTTCTTCTATAAGCTCTTCAATTTAAGTAAACACAAAATCAATAAAAAAAGGAAACATAGACTATTGAATATAATATAATGACTTGATGCTTAATACCCATTAAAGATTGATTTTGGCAGAAAGTGAGTTAACATTCTTTAATGCTAGTCTCATAGATACTTTACATAATCACATTTTCCATTCCTTGGCTGTGACTGTCTTTATAACATACTTATCTTTAAACATGAATTCATTTAAAAAGCAAATTAACTGGTTTCACCATACTGCGGTTTATCTTGACACTCTTTTTTTAAAAGAGCAGTGCCATAGCAGGCAAACAAAAACTAGTTTTAAACTGCCAAAATATTTAATGTAAACAATAACAGATAAATTATTCCTCTCTAAGGAAACGGATACGTTTAGACTCAGGTAACTAAAAGTCCACTGAGATTAACATTTACTCGTAAGTGAAATAATATAAGTACACAAAATTCAGATGGACAGCCCCCATAATTTCATTTTCATGTATTCTAGAAATATTCTTTTTCCAACTTCCAATGTACTCGAATTGCTTTTCTTTCTGTTTTCCACATCAAAGACATATAGCTCCAGTGCATCAAGATTCCTCATACAGCTATGATTTATAGAACTGTCTAATTCAGTGGTAATGAAAATGAATTTTTCCAAACTAAAAATTCTTAAACAGAAAAAGAAGTTATGCTAAAATCACTATAAAATGGATAAAAATGTATCATGCATAAGGCCAGACTATCCATTATGTTTTTAAACAACTAAACTTTGGTGAACTATTACTAGTATGCCCAGAAATAATTATGTCACTATGTTTTTGTTTCAAAACTATGTTATAACACTCAGACTAGGTAAAAATTGGAATTGGTATGTTTTTGTTTTCAGGATTGTTTTTGAGAGGTCAGACATTTCTTAACATACAGATATATAGGAAATACACTATAAAAAGTTTTTAATATGCAAATAAATAACTAGAGCACATAGTTTTGAATTCATACCATAATCTGTAATTAAATCTTTTCTGAAAATGGAAAATTAACTACTTGTAACAGTTTCAAAATTGTCTTTTATGGTTTCTTTTTATTCAATTCTGAAGAACTTATTTTTTCTAGGTTCTTATTATATTCTCTTCAAAATGTTATTTTTAAATATACACTATTGTGAAAATTAATAGCCTACTTATTTCCAAGTGAGAATTTGAAAGCTATGGTTAGTTTGTAATCTATGTGTTGTTTTTTTTTAAATCCTCGTCCGATGATATTCTTCATTGATTTTTTTTTTAGAGAGAGAGAAAGAGAAAGGCAGAGCAAAATATAAATGTGAGAGGAACACATTGATTCATTGCCTCCTGCATGTGCACTGGCCAGGACCCAGGCCTGGGAGGAGCCTGCAACAGAGGTAGGTGTCGTTGACTGGAATTGAACCCAGGACCCTTCGATCCACAGGCCAGTGTTCTATCCACTGAGCCAAACTGGCTAGGGCTGTAATCTATAAATTTATAATACTCTTTGGAAAATATTTCCAAGTGAAATTAAACTTGAGGAGAAAGTGCGAATAACAAAAAATCATTCACGTATTAAAAACAAAACAAAACTGTATTGCATGCCTACTCAGCATTCCTACCATCTTAGGACCTGGAGGTGGGAAAATAAAAGACAAGTTAGACATCTGCCTGTTTTTAATGAGCTCACAATTTAAGAAGGAGACAGATGAGGCAATAGGACAGGGAGAAGTAGAAGCTAGAGCATGAGATGGCAACTGGAATTGGAAGACTATTTGTTCAGGCACAAGCATAATAAAAATCCACCAGAGGTTTAAAGAAGTAGAGAAATTGCTGGAATGTGTTTTACATAGATATCTTTATGGAGACGGGTCAGTTGGGAGCCAGGAAGACATGTTTGTTACAGAGACTATTTTAGTCTGTTCAAAAGATGATGGACTAAATTAGGAAAATAGTACCTAGGATAGAGGCAAAGGGACAGATTAAAAAAAAAAAATCTAAGAAGTTATGGGAGCAAAAAGAAAAGTTAATGGTGATTTGATGATGAGAGGGGAAGAAAGAGTTAAGAATGACTTACATTTCTAATTTTGAGACTAGTGCTACCGTTAGTGAGAGAATGCGAGAAGAGGATCATCGTTTTCCTGGGCGTGTTGGGGCAGGAGGAGTTGCTTATTTCAGTTTTGTGAATGAGCTTAGTGTGGCTCCTCTATCATCCAGCAGGAGATGTTCCTGTGCAGCTAGAAAATGAATCTGTCGCTGGAGGGTGGGGGTATTACACCGACAGCACAGTGTAATAATCACTTTTGAAACAGCATACAGGAGAAAATTGAAATCATGCAAGTGAATGAGATGGACGAAGAAGAACCTATAAAGTGAAAAAAGTATCGATTGAGACTGAAACCCAAGGAACTCCTGTAACTCGTGAGTAAATGACACGTGGTGAGTTCATGTCACATGGGGGAAAATAATAAAGTATAATGAATTAATTATAGCATCCTTGAAGCCCAATCAGAAGTGAACGTCAGGAAACAGGGTGATATCAGTGTCAAATGCAAGGAAAGGTCTAATAAAATGAGAACTTCTGAGCATATTTCAGTTGTCATTGTGAGATCAGTAGAATTCAGGTTGCTGTGAATTGAGAAGCTAATTGAAGATAGAGGTAAGGGAAAAGGAAGGAGAGAGGAAGAGGGGATGGGACATGTGCTAAAGAAAGTCTGTTGAGAGACTTGTGTAGGACATTTGAGATTTAAACATGTTTATAGGCTGAGGGTACAAGAAACAATGAAAAGCAAAGAAGAATGAGGGTATGACTGAAGAGGTACAATCCTTTCTCAATACAAGTCAATGTCCATTTAAAGATGTATATTCCATTTCAACTCTGTACTTTCTATAAACAATTATTTAGCACATACAATTTGTATTGATTCAGCAAGATCACATAATAATGAAAACAAACTTTTGATGAAAAATCTCAAGTATGAGGCTGAATAAGATATGGAATAATATGACTTTCAACAAAATTAGTGTTCTAAAGTAGAATGCTCATGGAAATATCAGAAAGAGGAATTATGAAATATCAGTGTAACATTATAAAACATCTGGAATTTCAAATATTCAGCTGTTTGATAGTTGCCAGCAACATAGTTGAGATTTTTTAAAATTCTTTATCAGTTAATATATTTTCACAAAATCTCCAAATTTTTAAATGAAAATGGAGGAATATTTAAAAATTAACATTAAAATAGTGTAGAGAATAATTCCACAACACCCTGTCTTTCCTCCTCTCTATCAATAGAAGTTATTTCACTAAAGGAATCTAAAAATGTAAAAAAGGGTTGACAATAAAGAGTAAGACATAGAAGAAATTTAGTAATATAAAATCATGCTTCTAATATTAACAGACATTTAATAAAGTTTTTTTTAAATGCTCTTATGAAAAATAAATATCCCAGCCCATGTCTAAAAAACAAATTAGATTGACATTTATCCTGGACTAGTGGCGCTAGTGAGGAAACTATAATCCCTGTTCTTATGGTCATTTAATTGCATAGTAAATTTACAGGTCCTCTTTAAAGGTTTCTGACTGGCTGATTTCAAATATGAAAATCATTTCTAAGATTTAAATTCTTGCTCATCGTTTCAAAATGTGGGCAAGAGTCTCTAAAAGACAGATTTGAACGGTTGAGAATGAACATTCACTGCGCTGTGACTTCCTAGTGGTCCAGAGCTGTCTTGCTTATTTCTGAAGTTGGCTATCACTCACTGTCTCTGATGTCCAGCAGGTGTTTAATGAGAAAAGACTGCTAAACTACCATCCTTTAGTCAAAACAAAAAGGGACAACGTTGTTATTTTCTTTTCTCTAGGAATATTAGTGAGAATCCCCTGACAGGTGCTAAATGGATAACCTACTTTTTTAAAAAAAAGTATCTAAAGAACTTATTAGAGCCAATTTATCTAATGCACCTTTAGAGTAGTGCATGTGCTTTCAGGGTATTAAACAGATCATTTCATTTTCAGAAAATCATTAAATAGTATTCAAAGGCAGAAGTTTCCTTCTTAAAAAACAAGTGATTTGAAAGGCTGTGTCCATTAACTTCGTTCTTGAGTGATCGAGCTGACATCATATTGGCAGAGGAAAGAAAAGCTGTTTTCTAAAGCTGGCCTGGCGAGCTCACACTTCCTAACAGGGTCGCAATTACATGTGGAATAAAAATAGTCACTCGTCCCATCATGCCACTGCCCTTGCGATCTACCAGAGCTGCGCAGAGCACTCCACTGCTTCAGCGGCAGATCTCAGAGCACAGTGCTCCCCAGCAGTGCTGGCCAGAGGGGATTCAGGAAACACAGACATTTCTAAATTCTGTTCACTCCCTTCACACAAGTGCTGGGGCCACAGCACTTGTGTGAAGGGAGTGAACCCGGACCCTATGGAGGCTATGAGGGAAACAAACAAAAGGCCCAAAACTAAATAAAAGCAAAATCAGAAATCCTTCAGCCGCTCATTACAGAATCCATGTGCCTTAGAAGAGGCCAGAGGATATACTATTCAAATTCGGCCTCCCCACCATTCTGTGGCCATGAACTTAAAGCATGCTTCTATTTGCTGGGCGGTCCCCAGTGATCTGGTCAGATGTGTTCTCCACTACACCTGCCTACTCCCTTTTGGCGGACATCCGCCTTTTGGTGTTGTAATAAATCTATATCTTCATTGTCTCTCCTTCTCCCCCCCCCCCCCCCGGATATACATTTTCCTTTATGGCATAATCCCGGTTTAAAATGTGCTGAGGGGAAGACACACTGGTGACACACACAGACTGGGGCTCTGTGATGTCGCCTTCATTTCTCTAATGGCTTCCTTGTAATTAGATTCGCAAAAAAAACAGCAAAAGGCCTCCTTTTGAATGGCAACAGCTGTTGACATCAACGTTATATTAAATCATTGACTGGTTTAATTTTAGGCACAAAACAATAAAATCCTCTTGTGGATGATGCTTTGAGCGGCCAAGTTTTCCCCTTTCAGTAGTTGGTGCCTCTGTCCCAGCTTAACCAGCAGTTTCTCCATGAAAGACTCTTAAACCCAAGCGTGCCAAAACCTCACAAGGGGAGCTGGTATTCCCTCCAGTTTCCGGGAAGTACTGTGTCCCTGTGACTACTTCAGTGCCCTCACCCTGAGTGCTTATTTCCAAACCAGGGAGCGGCACAGCTCTTCCAAGCTGAGTTTGAACTTGAACGGCACACTGTGGCTGTACCTTGGAGGCACCTGCCATGTCACAGAGCCACTGAAATGGATTTCTTGACCTGCAGGACACGCAGCAGCATCTGCACACGGATGCCCTCTTGGCAGAAGAGAATGCTGCTTCCTCACTTCTCCAGTATCCCCAGCAGCTAGCCCTTCACTGGGCAGAAAACCTCTTTATGGAATCGCATGCTTTCCTGGCAGAAATAACGTAACCAAGAGGATTCTCAACAAGCGGATGCGTTTGTACATGTGTGTGCACATGGGGTTGGGCACTCACAAGAGAGACGAGGTTTTATGGACAGGAAGGAGAGAGAGCATGTGAAGCTGCTCTCAACTCTAAAATTACCCACATTCTAGAGGAAAGAACAAGAAAAGAAAACACCTTACTGGCATAGATTTGTTGAAAAAAAAATAGTTGTTGGGATTTGTTAGGTAACTGACATTATTTCTATTATAGTGCGGTACTGTTCTTCCTTCTGGAAAATGTCTTTGTTATTCAACTGTTATCAGCATCAAAGATAAATCTACTTTTTATTTCTTTATGACATCTTTTTGAAAAACAGAAAAATATGTATCCACCTTTGAATTGTCTTACATCAAACAAAAAATAATTTCTCAGGTATAGGTTAACCTGTAACAAAATTATTTTCAAAAAAACACACCCAAAAACAACAGTCATAATTCTATTAAAACAAACATTACCAGGGTCCCCTCTTTTCTGCCACTACTGCTTTTGCTTATATTTTGTTGATGGAGTAATCCAAGGCAGTTTTTACCAAAGAGAGCTAACCTTACTTTAAACTGGTTGTAACAGCAAAGACACAGAACCAGAAAACCTCTGCTAAAGATTTACTAAGCACACATCTTAAAAGTATGATTGCTGCCAAAACCGGTTTTGCTCAGTGGATAGAGTGTCAGCTTGCAGACTGTAAAGGTCCCAGTTTGATTCCGGTCAGGATCATCCGCAGTAGGGGGTGTGCAGGAGGCAGCTGATGTTTCTCTCTCATCGATATTTCTAACTCTCTATCCCTGTCCCTTTCTCTCTGTAAAAATCAATAAAATATATTTAAAATAATGAGTATGGTCACTATCTTGTCTTTTCTGATAGCTTCAATCTCCTGTAAGTTTGAAAGCACTTTCACACAGCATACCAAGTACACCCGACACCGCTTCATGAAGATGGCAATAAAACAGTCCGGTTAAATGGGAATATTTCACAGGGTATACATTTGCTCCCTTAAGTCATTCTCTTAGAAAGGACTTTTCTTAAAGTCAACATGATAAATATAAAGAGGAATAGAGTTCTGTATGAGAACACTATACACTTTGTAGCCTGTGTCAGGGGTGCAGGATGGGCGTGGACCTTTGGGTTAGTAATGCACGAAAGCCTGAGTCCCTGTCAGCCAGCCGGTGCTTACCCTTGAGTGCAGTTTGGATGGCATGGGTGGCACTCCCGGTCCTCATCAGCATACTTGAAAATGAAACTGTTTGCCCCCTGTAAGCCATCTGGACATTTTTCCACACAGTTTGGGCCATCCTTAAAATGGGAGCACTTTGTACAGTTGTCAGGTCCCTGAAATGTGAAAAACAAAATAAATTAAAGAAAACTAGATGCCATTCGTCCTGAAATGTATTTGGTTGGCCTAGATACTGAGACTTGAGTGGGTGGCCAATCCGCCTCTAGGAAATTGGGAGCGTTTTCAGCAATAAAAATGGGAAGGTAGCTCTTGTAGCTTTTTGATCAGCAACATTTTCCAAGGACTTTCCAGAACAGCAGTATTTTCTTTCTGTCATTTGTTAATGGTGATATTAAAGACCAGCTACATTTGATAACAACACTTTCCCCCCAGAAATATGAGAGATTTCTCACTAAACAGTTAATTTGAATAAGAAAATGGTAGGAATTACACAACACCAAATTTCATATAAAAGATGTTAACTCTCCTTTGGTTGTCCAATGACTTTTTGTACACTAAATATTAAAAATTAATATGGCTGAATTATCAGAAATTAGGCAGGGTAGGCCAATAAAAGTTAATTTCTAAGTTAAACCGGCTTCTGATAATGCTAAAAACCATATCATGATCATTTTTAGGATTTTACTAAATCGCACAATAGTACTAAGAGCCATAGAAAGACATACTCTTATGGTCAAATATCCAAACCTTCATAATAATAAAATAAATACAATTAATGGAGAAACTTAACTAAGAGTGAAATTAATATAAGCATGATAAATTTAAATAAGACTAATATTATACATTTATGTTTATAATATAAAATAATTTTATAATATGTAGAATGTTAGTAAGAATTTATAATATGCATTAAATATATTACAAATACCTAAATATCATAGCAAAAGTAAAAATTTAAAACTACATTAAACTTCTAATGCTTTAACAAAAATCTAATTTGCATTTGGTGCTAGAGGAAACCTGAAAGAAATAAAGTAATATATCCTCTTATCATTTTGAGAATATTTTGATTAAAAAATGCTATTTTCTTAAGACATGCCCATGTGCTCACATTCAGCTCTTTGAAATAATGATATCACTTGCTTGAAATCCACTTGTAGGTGTTTTTTTGAACATCCTATTGTCTTAGGATTTGTCTTCACTGTGACCACCCCCTGGAACTTCCTTCCCTGACTCATTTCTCCCCAAGATCTGTCTATACCCATAGGACTCAACAATTAGGACAGATCACAATGAACATCATTTGGAGGATTAAGATACTGTAAGTAGAAGGAGAACATCCAATTTACTAGGTTTATAACTACTGAGAGTCTGGATTTGGGAGCCAAGAGCAATCAGACTTTATACAGAGCTAAGTGTTATGTAAAGGAAGGGTGGGAATCAGTTCATTCACGAGAGTCATTTCATGTTAACGTTAACCCAAAAGAAGTTATGCTTTGAAAACCGGTAGCATAGGCACCCAAAAATTAAGAAATATAAAGTTTTATAATTTAAAGAGAGAGGCTGTGGATGAAGAATAGCAGTGCCAAGAAGTCAAAAGTGATCTGGAAGACTTTTCAGGAAATCATGACCACTGAGGTTCAATCACCTGTCTATATCTCTATTTTGATGTGAGACTTAGAGCTTTGAGAAAAAATAAATTATCCTAAGCCACCTAATCCCTATTCACCCTGAAGAGTTTGCTATTGGAAGCTTCTTATTTCCTTCCAGAAAAGAATACTTCACATGCTTCCAATTTTCACACCTGCTCATGGGTACTTAGGCACGTAATGCCTTCTATTACACAAAATCATTTACTGTGCAAGCATGCTCAGTGGCATGACTTATTGTACAAGACAAGAGACATGCTGATGTCCGCTTGCAGAACACAAGAATATAACTTACTCTGAGCAAATTAGGCAGCTACAAGTGGCAACTAGAAATTATTTCCCTTAAAATTGTAATGCAACACAATGTCCAGGTAAATCAGAAAATATAAAAATTATGAAGCTAAAATTAATTCGCACTTAAACTTTAAGTACACTATAATAAGATAAATTGATTTTGTTTGCTTATTTTTTTTCAAGTATCTCAACTATTTCATTGTGTTATCCTTATACAAAACCTGATATCCTAGGCTAAAATAACTAAAGAATGTAGTGGCAAATCTCAAAAGAAATCAAATGTACTGTTTCTCCACCTCATTTCAATAATAAAGAGATAAAAGTATTTCTAATGCTTATTATTTCATCATTATATTCCCAAAGCTTTGAAGAACCTATGTTCAGTGAATTAACTAATCAATGCAATAATAGCAAACATAGGTGAAGGCAATATTCTTCCTTATTTCTGATTTAAAGCTGCCCTTGGATTCAATAAATTGGACAGACATCTATAAGATAGACCGCATCCTGATAGAAACAATGCATTGTTTTTTCTCAGTGACAATGTTTTTTCCAAGTAGCAATTGTAAGAGATAAAACTCCTTTTCACCAGTAACTGATCTCTTCCACTTCCAATTACATGGAATCTTGAAATTCTCTTCTCACAAGAGGTGAGGTATATCTTGCTTTGGACAATGAAATTAAATAGCACGCATTTATAAAACTGCCAATACTAAACTCTTCAGCTTTCTCTTTTACTGCTTCTGTAATGCAGGAACAACACCATGTAATAAAATAATGATTTCAAAGAAACTAATAAACTAATTATTTTCTAGAATAATTTATGCCATAGGAGCCAGCATGAGGAATATAAAGAGCATGGATTTCTCTAGCAGCCTAACATTGTCAGAGGAGATGGCAAATTCTTCATTACACTAAATATACATTTCCAAAGTGTCAGTCTCTCTAAAAGAGATTTTATTATTTCATGACTTATGGTCAAGAAGATGTCTAAATATGTAAGCTTTAAAAGAAGTCTTATATCAATATATCTTTAATAACCCATTATGAAACTTTATTTCCCTATGTTGTTTCATAACATTCTTTAGAAAATTTCTACTTCTCATGCTGTGGGTAAACTATTATTTTCCATTACTATCCTTAGTGGCAAAAGTAAAGGGCTGCATATGCCCTTTGCATGGAGATCATTAAGTGTTAAACTCTTTTAGACTGGTTCTTCAGGCCAAATCACATCACTTCTTTATTTGGAGGTCTGATTTTCCAAGTTTTCCACATCCTTCTTTAGATGGAGTTCCAGTACGGATTACTGGGGCATAGTGGAACTGTGGAGGGCTCAATGATTTTTTTCCCCTAAGTTAATTAAGTGCAGAATGGGCACTATGGTAGAAAAATTAATAATATTTAATTTTAAAATAAATTCTTACGGAGAAATTTTGAGGCCTTGGTTACTCCCAAATGTTGGTTCCTAAGTCATCTACTGAGAACTGACTCAATACACAAATGAACGGGAAATTTGTCTAAAAAAGGGTGAATATGAAACTTTGGAATGACAAACACATACCAATTTCATTATTAAGAAAAAACCTGAGTGATGGGACTCAAAGGGAAGACTGAAAAGCAATGATCATTTTCTTTGTAAGGATAACTTCAAACTCTATAAATGTCAACTTGTCCACAAAGACCTTTCTGATCCCACACCCTATACCACACCCTTTCCTAAAATTTCCATAGCTCAGTTTTTCTCTTTGCCATAGTACTTATCACACTGCTTAATACTTTAGTTTGTATTTGCCTTCCTCCTTCTTTCAATGGACCTTCATAACTAGTATGTTTATAATGACATAATGGTTAAATAATTAAACACAGAATGTTATAGTTTACCTCAAAACAACATCAACTTTCACATTTTCATATCTTTGCATATTTCTGAATTTCAGATTCTTACTCAAAGCATAGCTCAAAAATCACTTCTCTATAGGCTGTTTTGATGGCCTACTTTCCATCCCAAAGATAGATTTAGATTCTCCCTCAACTATGCTCCTATAAAAATCATATATAATAAAAGCCTAATATGCTAAGTGTCCAGTCAACTGGTTAGCTATTCAACCAATCAAAGCATAATATGCTAATGATATGCTAAGGCCACTCAACTGCTCACTATGATATGCATTGACCATCAGGGGCCAGACAGTCAACCAGTTGATCAGTTGCTGTGATGTGCACTGACCACCGGGGGGAAGACACTACAACCAGTAGGTTAGCTTGCTGTGGGGTCCTGCCAAGTGGCCTGAGTGAGATGGGCCAGACACACCCTGGATCCCTTCCATGGTCCCTCTCTAGCAGTTCAACCTCCTGTGTCCCTCCCTAGCTCCCCTTGGCCTGACCTGTGCCCTCTTGCAATCCAGACCCCTCAGGGGATGTCAGAGAGCCAGTTTCAGCTCAATCCCACAGGCCAGGCTGAGGGACCCCACTTTTGTACAAATTTGTGCACTGGGCCTCTAGTTTATTCATATTTTAGTTTATCAATTATTTTCCTTCAAGCTAATTACTTGTTCATCTCTGTTTTCTTTTCAACGTTGTGCAGTCTTCAGAGTCAAATCCTTATCTCCTTTTTAAATACACAATCTGGGACTTATATATTTAAGAAATTGAATTTTTACATATTTTACCTCCATTACCAAACTTAAAAGTCTCTTGAGGGTGAAATATCAAACATAATCTCCCGTTATATCCTACAAACACCTATAGAATGAGTGGATAAGCGATACAGCAATGACACAAACACTCATACATGAAACTCAATAAGGCAACACAAGCACAGATGTCCTCCGGCTTACCGGTCCATGGCACGTGAGGATGCCATCTTCCATCTTCTCACACTGGGGGTCACACTCCGCACAGATGGAGCTGTTCGCAAACTCCCGGAATTCTCTGTGAAAACATCAGCTGCGTGAGGTGGTGTAAGCAAACAAGCTGTCAACTTAACAAATGAAGTAACATCTGCTAAAAGTCCTATTGGCAGAATGAATTCTAGAGTTTGTTTCTCCCTGTGCCAGGAGCCTCAGAATCATTTCCCTGTACATTAAGGAGTAAGTTCTCCATTAGGAGGCAAGATAAACGGCAGCCAGATGGCTCTCCTTGCCCTCCGCTGGGTTCAACGATAGACTCATTCAGGAAACCTCTCACTTGTGAGAGAGACTGTAGCCATCTCAAAGAAAAAAAAGAAAAAAAAAAGAGTATAACTATTCTGATGACATAGCAGAACCGTTTTAACTTTTGAAGTAAGGCTATCTCTGTAAAATTTTACTCTTGGTGGAAGCTTTTTTTTTTTTTTTTTAACTCTGAAAGGACTATTGTATTTTTCTTGTTGCTAAGTTGCATGAATGTTCTTCATCCTTGTCCTTCAAATCCCAAGAATCTTTCATTTATTTTTGGTGAAACTTCAAAAAATGCTTTGATTTCTTTTCTTCTTTTAAAATACCTGCCTTAGAGAATTAGAGAAAAGATCTTTTTATGGTAGATTTTATTTTCTCAGATTATTGATCTGATAACATTTTTTTCCAGTTTAAATTCCTTTTGAAGTAATTCCATATGGCATACAATAAAAAATAGTTTAATGGTAACATTCTAAATTTTCTAATTACACCATTACATATTGTGACTATTTGAATAGTAAATATTGTCCATATAAGTTTGATAATCCATATCTACTCTAAATTTTTCATTTTAATAATTGGTTACCAGTCATGTCCAATATGTTTAAACCATTCCTAGTAGTGTGTGAGTTGGTGTGGTACTGGGCAAAGGTAACTTAAGATGTCATTAATAAAACTTGAACCCTAGTCGGTTTGGCTCAGTGGATAGAGCGTCGGCCTGCAGACTGAAAGGCTCCAGGTTCGATTCCGGTCAAGGGCATGTACCTTGGTTGTGGGCACATCCCCAATAGGGGGTATGCAGGAGGTAGCTGATTGATGTTTCTCTCTTAACAATGTTTCTAACTCTCTCTCTCTCTTCCTCTTTGTAAAAAAATCAATAAAATATATATTAAACAACAAAACTTGACTAAATATTTCTAGCTATTGTATTTTTTATGCCTTTGTACTATGAGGTACCATTCCTTTCTAATAGCATTGCAAATATAGCAATAATGGATTAATTAGGTGATAAATTCAAATTTATTTTTCCCTTGAGTGAAATATTTCTTTTTTTTTTCATAATAAACAATCTCACTTGGTTACTGTAAAGCCTTAATAAATGACAGAAGTCCAAAGCATGGGCTCTATTTTCTATTGGATAGATTAAGACGATACATACTCCAAGGCAAAATAATTATATTTGGTTTTCAAAACGAATAGCATAAATCGATGGTTTACTTATGTGTAAATGCAAATATTTAATTCCATGGATTTGACATTTTCAAAGTGTTAGTTTGCTATGAATTAAATGTTTTATGATTTTTCTTATGTTTAAAATTGCAATGAATCAAAACAGGTTTTTTTTTTTTCTTGCATGTTTCATCAACATGAGTGATATAAAATACTTAACTAGAAAATCCGCAGAGAATAAAGGGAAACATGGCCTCCTGTTGGGAGGAGTACCTACACTGTAAAGCGAAGCAGAAGCATTCTCTGGTTAATGACAGTGCATGACCGCCACAACAAAGCTTGTGTCATCAGCACATTATTTATTTTGCAAACAGGTTTCTGGGGTGACTAAAGGCTTATGGTACTAAATGAAGGTCATAATTTCTGTGATACTAGAACATAGGTCATGTTTATTTCTCTCCTCTCTAAAATCTTTCTGCACACAGAGTTGACATAAAGTGCATATATGATTAAAAATTACTGCAGCCCTGGCCAGTCTGACTCAGTGGATAGAGTGTCAGCCCGAGGAGCAAAGGGATTGCGGGTTCGATTCTGGTCAAGGGCATGTACCTAGGTTGCAGGGCCCCCTTGGCCGGGGCCCTGGTCAGGAGGCACCTGATGGATGTGTTTCTCTCACATTGCTATTTCTGTCTTTCTCTCTCTCTTCCATTCTCCCTCAATCCAATGGAAAAATATCCTTGGGTGAGGATTTAAAAAAAAAAATTACCAGAGACAATCTAGCTGCCTTTACTTCTATGGACTACATGTCTGTCTGTAGGCTTTCTTCCTTCCTGCTACCAGAATAGACCCAGGATAATAATTCTAGCAGTTAAATCCCTTAATTTCTCAAAGCTTCTCTTTTTTAAGTATCCTCTGTAAAAGGGGAAAAAATGTTTCCATGAGAGGTTGTGATTATTAATGTAAAAATGCCTACAAAGAGTTTAGACAGACACTCTTTTTGATGTTTCTGTGTTCTTAAAATTTCAGAAGTGTTTAATCACAGTACCAGAAAAAAAACATAGAAGATTCTATTGCAATTAGCTTTCTCTTTCATTTTGAAAGCTTGTGCATTGTAGTTAAGGGTTGCCAAAATATAGTGACCCAAATGATTTGAATTTTGAATGTTAATAGCCAGAAATTGGCTGATTTTCTTCTAACCCTTTTCAAAAGTCCTCTATTTAAGATTTCTTCTCTTATGATAACAGACCTCTTTTATAAATATGAACAAGATTCTGGTAAATGTCATACTGTATTTGTATTTATTTTTAGCAGTTTCTAAGGTGACTTTTCTACCTAACCATTTGATCAGCTCATATTAATAGACACAGAAAGAAAATAATGAGTTTTAGTGGTCAGAACGCTAATAAAATTTTATTGTCTATTTCTCACTTAATAATCACAACTATTTTATGAAGTTGGCACAATTACTATTCCCACTGCCATATAAGAAAAAAGAGTTTACAATTGTTAAGTTATTTGTCCAAGGTTGGACATTCTAACTAGAAAGTGGTGGTTAGCTTTGAATTCATTTTCCCTCACCTGCTGTTTTAACTATGAGGCAAGGTTGGAAGAAATTATCCACTCCCACTAAACTGGAGATGGGGAAATATATCCTTGCTTGGGCAGATAAGAATTACATCCGATTCTTATAAGATATTGGTATTTATTTTTCAAATTAACCCAGTGAGTATGATTTTTCTAGGGCCCTATCACTTTTTCAAAATACATAAAAAGTTTCACATTTCTTTAATTCATTTCACTTAATAACATGGAAAATGGTAAGTTTTCCAAAACAAGCTGATAATCATTATTTACTTAGGATACTGGTAATTTTCCTTAGTTTTCATTGTTTTGCACAATTGAGAGAGAGGATAATGTATATATCTACATATTTATCAGTTTCATATTTCTGAAAAATTTAAAATGATTTTTTTTGTAAAAGCTATGGTGTCTGAAAAGGAAAGAGAATGAGCATGGTGCCCTGGGTTGTAGTAATGGCTTGGGCCCCTTACAGTGTTTTGATCTTGGCCAGCACTAATTCTATCAGTTCGCAGTGATTATAAGATGCTGCTGTAAAAAAACATGAATCCTAGACCTCATTACTTCTTTAGAACTGTACATATACACTGAGTGGCCAGATTATTATGATCTCTGAATGCATAATAATCTGGCCACTCAGTGTATATCCTATATAATAAAAGGCTAATATGTAAATTGTCCCCCCCCCCCAACCAGGAGTTCGACCAGCAGGCAGGCCGGCCAACCACCCATAAACCCTTCCCTTGGCCCGACTAGCCAACCCCAACCATGTATGAATTCATGCACTGGGCCTCTAATATATGCACACACGTGGAGTGGCCAGATTATTATGCATTCAGAGATCATAATAATCTGGCCACTCAGTGTATATTCAATAAACTTTTACTATAACATTCACTTAATGGAATTAAAGTCTATTAGTTTCATTTTAGGGGTATCAATTGCCACCCACAAACAAGCATATTTTAATCTAAGCTACTTTATGAACAGAAAATATATTATTTTTATAAAAATAAACAACGATGAATACATTTCACTGAGACAAAGAGCACATAATTTGTTATTCATTATCAAATTTATGAGCTGATTGTACCTTGCAAAAATAACAAGCTGAAAATTTCCTTAAAAACTATTAAATTCTAACTTTTCCTTAATTTTCTAATTTTAATATTTTTCCTCTAAATTGCATGGGCAGAATTAAATTTGGTCAGCTTTCAAAGAAGAGTCATATAATTATTACTATGATTCAAAATAGTAGACTTGTAAGTGGTTTAGGGTAGAGGAGATCAATGGGGAAAAAAAGGAAACCTCTGTATTTCTTCCATCAATAAGATAAATTAAATAATATATTACTATTATTCATTCATTTTAATTTTTCTTTTATAGAATACAAAATTATAATGTTATCTGGGATCATGAAAACAGTTGCTAAAAATTGGACAATTCATAAGGCAGAAGAAGAAATAAAATAAAGACATTCAAAACTGCAATTTTACAAGAAAGTGCTCACTGTGAGCAATAATAAAAAAATTTTGACTCAGGGACAGCACTAAAAAATGTGTTATCTCACTAATGAAGGACAACCATGATGCATGAAATGGCATGTTATGATAAAGTGATTTTATGAGCATGTGAGATGTCATGCAGCAAGGTATATAGTAAGCTTTATTATAGTAATAGAAGAAATGTAAAACATTTTATTTAAATTATTGCTTAGGTTATCTTTAGAAAGTGGCAGAACACTTAGAAAAACCTACTCAACTAGAAATTATGGAAGTAGTTTTTTTGTAAGGCTAAGCCGTTGTCAGAGATATAGAAATTGTGTGTCATTCCTAAAATCAAATCAAATAGACATGCAACCTAAATGGAAAACATAAATAAAAGTTATGTATAATTAAAGGTGAACATTAATAGAAAGTATGAGGGGGAAAAAAGACTATTGGGACATATAAAAAAAGATTGCTTATGCATTTTATAAGCAGAGTAGCAATATATTTTTCAATTTTACTTAAAGTACATTTTAATAATTTGTTAATAGTTATCTATTTAGTAGATGTTTTTAAAATGTGAATAACAGTCAACATATATTTGGACTTGGTATTTACAACTATATTATTTCCCCTTTAAATAATTTTTCTATAAATTGACTACTTTATGCAACTCTCCTTAGTAAAAATTGTAGCTTGTATACCCATACTGAAATTTCACAATATTCTTATCTGAATCAGGCAGAACCTCAAAGGTCAAGAGGCGAAAGTGACATGTAAGACGCCTTACCCATCGTAGAGGTTACAAGAGTCTATGCAGGTCCTCCCCCGGCTGAAGCGACGGCAGGACAGGCACTGGTCTGGCCCAGGTCCCCAACAGCCATCGCTGGAGCACAGATGGTTGCACACCATTCCTTCAGCAGCTGAAAAGCACATCAAAATCAAGAGGAGATAAACAGAAGCTTGTGTCACAACTTATAGCTTTAATATAAATCTTTCAAAGTAAAACTATTTCTGTAGGAGTTTGTTTGAAAGCGATCTATGACAGACCTCTTTGGTGGCCTGTCTAGTCACCATTATTCACATTATCCCCAACTTCTTCCATGTTGCAGAGCTCAGTCACTGTTGTTGTTAAGCGACATTGCGTTTTTAATAAAAATGAACAAATGCTAATTGTCTATATCATAACTCTAGGGAGAAGGTGTAATAGAAAATAATCTTCCAGTTAAGGAAAAAAAAACACACATCTTTCTCAAACCAACCCTTCGTTCCACAATTATCCCAAACTTTTGGCTTTAATTCTATATGACAGCATCATGAAGATAACAAATGATACTTGTTCTAAAACAAATAATATTAAAGGAGCAAATGAACATGGCTGTGTTGCTCAGTGATTGAACATTGACTCATGAACCAGGAGGTCACAGTTCTATTCCGGGTCAGGGCATATTTCTGGGTTGCAGAATCTACCCCCAGTAAGGGGGCATGCCAACTAGGCTGAGGGGACTCCCCTCCCCACCCATCTACATGAATTTAGTGCACCAGGCCTCTAGTATTATATATTTCTCCATGGAGTGCTCTTAATCCCATGTATAGAATCATATATTCATCTGGCATTGTTTCCTCCTGACTAACTACCTTCCTCTACTATTTCTAGGAGTGTGGTTTTCCTCCGTGCTGCTCTTTTTTCTCTGGCACTGTCTGTCTGCAGACTTGAGCCTCTTTGGGCTACCAGCTCCGTCTCCTCAACTCAAGGAGTCTTTGGGATTCTACCTTGGTCTCTCCAGACTCTACTATGGCTCAAAAATCCTCTCAAGGTAGTTAGCCAGAGCAGACACAAGGCTCACCTCATTTGTTTCCTATTCTCTGCTTCATTACCTGATATCTACTCCCTTGCAAACTGTCATTTCATATCATTTGTCCATATTTTGGTTGTTTCATGAGGAAAGGTAAATATAATCCCTTTTATTCTATCCTGGTAGAAGTAGAATCTGAGATTTATTTCTAAAAATCCAAAGTAAGATGACTTGCTATTTCTTGCTTCTTGTGTATAAACACAATTTTTATATAGAATTTATCCAAAATGCCTGTTACTTCTAAACATCCATAAACTTTTTTGAAAATTATAGTTTCTTCTACTCTACTATTTTAACTTATTTAATTTGTGACATTATTATAAATAACATAAAGGCGAATTTAAAAAACAAACAAACCCTGAAATAACAGAAATCAGATAGAGTGTTTTCCTGTATACATAGGATTTTTATTTTTTGGTTAACTCGTCAGTTTTGCAGACCAAAGCAGTACTTCCATTTTTAAAGATGTATTAAATTGAAATAGCATATATTATAACTATTTTTCTCCTCTTATGTGGAGATATTTCTTTTCAAAAGTTGAATGATTTGTTGTTCTATCTGTGAAATTCTGACAGTCTACCTCCTATATCGATTTCAAACTAATTGCAAGAGTTCTTTCCTTCTCACTCATTCAGTTCTCTCACTGTGCAAAAGAAATGTCAGTAGAAATGGAATCTTAATATAGGTCTCATATCACTGATTTCCTAGGAGTATAAGTGACTTCCCACTGATTTATGAAGATGTAAGAATTAAGAAAGTTCAATCAAGCTGATGGAATATAAATGTTTAAGAACAAAATCTATATAATAGCTTAAGAGTTAAAAAAGGAGTAAAGATAAATTATATTAATGGATATAAAGCTATAATGCCTATTTTATAAACATTCGGCCATTTTAAGTTTTTTATGAACTATTTCATAGTCTGAAACATATATGAATTTACATATGATTCTCATATATCCTTGCTTATGGAATAAATATGATCATAGGTGGAACCCTTGCAGAGGGGAGGTTAAAACTACACCATAAGTTACATTACAAATGCAACTTGTAAAGACAAGTAGAATATATTCAAAATCATGTTGCTCAGTGTGATGAATCTCTGGTTCTTCATAATAATCACCTTCATATTGATATCGAAACATAATCAATGCCTCAAGTTCTTAGTTTACCTACTTGTCTAAGGCCAAAAAATAAATTTTCAGATTCTGCCTTCAGGCTGTTGGTAAAGGTATCAGTACCTCTTTGTTACTGCTCATTTCCTGATATCCATCAACTGTCTGATCTACTTATTTCTACATATTGTTTTTTGGGGGGGAAATGGACAAATGACTATTTTTGAAAAGAGGTAGGACAATATAATGTCTACAAATGGTCAAAATTTGTGAAGCTTATTTTTCATGTTCTTTTAATTTATCTATATTTTGTAACACTTTTGGTAATAAACAAGTATTCCTTTTATAATAAGAACAATAATATGGAGACTTATTATAAAACAAAACCAAAACAAAAAACACTATATATATATATATATATATATATATATATATATATATATATATATATTTGTAGTTTGAAAACCTCTCACTCTTGTCCCTCTTTTCTTCCAAAGCTGATAAGACTCTATAACAAGTGGAACTATTTTGTCATATGGTAGTATTTTAACTTTTTTTGAGGATCCTCCATACTGTTTTCCACAGTGGCTGTACCAAATTACACTTCTTCCACCCACATCTCACCAGCAGTTTTCTGTTTTGAAAACAGCCATTCTAACAGGTGTGAAGTGGCATCTCCCTGTGGTTTCAATTTGAATTTTCCTGGTGATTGGTGATGTGGAGCACATTTTCATGTATTTGTTAATCATTTGTATGTCTTCTATGGAGAAATGTTCACTCAAATCCTCTGCCCATATTTATTCAGATTTGTTTTGTTTTTGTAAGTTTTTTGTTTTTGTTTTTTGTTTGTTTGTTTTTTGGTTATTAAGTTGCATGAGTTCTTTATATCATTTGGATATTAATACCTTATCAGATACATAATTTGCAAATATTTTATCCCATTCTGTAGGTTCCCTGTTCACTTTGTTGCTTGCTTCTTTTGCTTTGAAAAAAGGTTTTAGTTTGATTTAGTTCCACTTGTTTATTTTTGCTTCATTGCTTCTGCTTTTGCTATTGTATCCATAAAATCATTGCCAAAGCCAACGTCATGAGGCTTTTCTCTTATGTTTTATTGTAGGAGCATTATGGTTTATGTCTTACGTTTAAGTCCTTAATCCATTTTGAGTTAAATTTTCCAGCTTTCAGAAGCCACTTTGGCTTTCCTCTGCTTGTAAATACATCATTCCAACCACCGTTTCCATGGTCACATCACCTTCTCTATTAAAATCAAGTCTCCTTTTTTCTCCTTCCTACAAGGTCACATGTGATTACATTTAGGGTCCACCCAGATAATCCAGATTCATCTTTCCACCTTAAAATACACGGTTTGATTACATATGCAAAATTCCTTTTGCCTTATAAAGTAGCATTCACAGATTCTGAGGACTAGGATGTGGGCATCCTTGGGAAGGGGAATTATAAAACTCTATTGTAATAAGCTCTTTACGTAGGGAAGGTTAGACGTATATAAGTGGGCATGGCATTATGGGTCTTTGGAAAATGTTAGAAGAAGTTAAAGCCATAAAATTTAGGAAAAGGTACAAGTAGAAGAATAAGACATACTCATTCACCATACTCAATAGGTGAAACAGATATTTCTGAAAGTTTGTTCACTCTTAAGTGCTCTCGGTACTATATCTCTGACTTATGTGGGATTTTGGGAGAAAATTCTGGTAGAGGGTTTTGACAGGCAGCTGTGACAGCAGTGATAAAACATTGAAAAGTCTTTGCATATCCTTAGAACACTGAGCACATTATAAAGTACTTCTCAGAAGGCACATTAACTCTATAAAGGGAAAATAAGTTCATAAGTGTGTTGTTGAAGTTCTGAAGTAAATAAAATATAGTAGCAAAATATATATTGTACTATAATTAGTCAATGGATAAATAAGCATTAAGTACCCACTTTATTGTCTTGAGTGTGTTAGATTAATGAAAGGATAGAACAAAACACTATTGATGCCAAGACCAGTTTGGCTCAATGGATAGAGCATCGGCTTGGGGACTGAAGGGTCCCGGGTTCGATTCCGGTCAAGGGCATGTACCTTGGTTGTGGGCATATCCCCAGTGGGGAGTGGGCAAGGGGCAGCTGATCGATGACTCTCTCTCATCTATGTTTCTAACTCTCTATCTCTCTCCCTTCCTCTCTGTACAAAATCAATAATATATATATATATTTAAAAAAAAAAACACTATTGCTAAAATGCTTCTTTTGGTCCATTCTTTCTCTTTGTCTCCCAAAACTGCTTTAAGTATACAGTGTTAAGTGGTACAACAAAACATTTCCTACAACAAGTCCTTTTTGAGAGAACACATCCACAAAAGATGAAATGAATAACCAGGACATGTTTTAAAGATATATTTCTGACTACAGAAAAAAAAAGGGAGAAAAATGGGGGTGGAGGGTGTTATAAAGTACAATAGAGTTTCTAAAAGGATTTTCTCAGACACCTGTCTCACCATGATCTGGTATGAAAAATGCAGGACCCTGGGTCCTTTCAATCTGTATTATTTTTCCCTGTTATACCGTTGTCTGTATTATTTATTAGGTGTGGCATAAGAAAATGCCACAAAATGATAGCATGAAATGACAGACACTTATTTGATCACAGTTCTGTATTTCTAAATCAAGGAGTTGGTTGGCTGGATCTTTCCTGAGGGCCTCCTCCTAGCATCTGGTGGTTGCTGGCAATCGTTGGTTTTCCTGATTTAGGGCTATGTAACTCCATTCTCTGACCTTGTCTTCATTAGTTAGCTTCCCTTTCTATGTGTACTGGAGGCCAGGTGCAGGAAATTCATGCAAGGGGGTGTGTCCCTCAGCCTAGCCTGCACCCTCTCCAATCTGGGAGCCCTCCAGAGATGTCCAATTGCTTATTTAGACCTGATCCCACTAGGATTGGGCCTAAACAGGCAGATAGACATCCCTCTCACAATCCTGGACTGCTAGCTCTCAACTGCTCGCCTGCCTACCTTCCTTATTGCCAATAACCACTTCTGCCTGCCAGGCTGATCACCCCCTAACCACACCCCTGCCAGCCTGATTAATGCCTAACTGCTCCCCTGCCAGCCTGATTGCTCCTAACTGCTCTTCCCTGCAGGCCTGGTCCCGCCCCAACTGCTCTCTCATGCAGGCCTGGGTCCCCTCCCCCCAACTGCCCTTCCCTGCAAGCCCAGTCGCCTCCAACTTCCCTCCACTGCATGCCTGGTCACCCCTAACTATCCTCCCCTGCAGGCTTGATCACCCATAACTGCTCTCCCCTGCTGGCCATCTTGTGGTGGCCATCTTGGGTCCACATGGGGGCAGGAACTTTGACCACATGGGAGCAGCCATCTTTTGTAGAGCAATGGTCAATTTGCATATTATGCTTTTATTAGATAGGATATCTTTACATGGTGTTCTCTTCTGTGTGCCTGTCTGTCTCTGTATCTCTTCTCCTATTCTCACAAATTATAGTGGATTAAGGGCCCATTCTAATCTGGCATAAATTCATCTACATGTTAATTACATTTACAAAGAATTTCTCTATACATAAGATCAAATTCATGGTACCAGTAGTTAAAACTTCAACACACACACACACACACACACACACACACACACACACACACACACATTTTAATCCTCACCCAACAATATTTTTCCATTGATTTTTAGAGAGTGGAAGTGAGAGGGAAAGACAGAAAGAACTATTGATATGAGAAAAACACATCAATTGGTTTCCTCCTGCATGAGCCCTGATAAGTACCCTGCAGGGGAAGAGCCTACTATGGAGGTGCATGCCCTTGACCAGAATCTAACCCGGGACCCTTTGGTCCTCAGGCCAGCACTCTATCCACTGAGCCAAACTGGCTAGGGCTCAACACGTGTGTGTGTGTGTGTGTGTGTGTGTGTGTGTGTGTGTGTGTGTGTGTTGAGTATTAGCAACACAATATTATCTAAACAACAGGCATTGAAAATTTGAGATCAGACTTAAAAAAGTTCTTGCTTTAAAATATTTCAAATGCTGACCTACAGGCAAGTTATTAAAATGCTGCCCTTTGTAATAAAAACTGAAGCCTGCAGTAATCCTGGCTATTATTGTTGAGAAGCCTTTCATTCTTTCAGAGTTTCCAGATTACAAATGGAAAGGATGCCATTTCTGAATTTGTAACAGCTTATTAACCTTTTGATGAGAACACAGAGATCATTTTGCAGCATTGTAATTAAACATTGTGCTGTTTCAAACACAGTAAGAAAATCTTATTTGATGTTATTATTTTTTTACAAAGAACAGTATATTAATATATTACTTTGGTAATAAAAGAATCTTAAAAGTACAGTTAAGGTTTTCTATTTTCTGATTACTTAGAGGAATAGTGACTTTACTATATCCCAAGTTATGCACTTTATGATTCATACTGAGCTTTGGTTTACCTAAAGTTATGGCAAATGCAGAATGTTTGGTTATTAGTGATTAACTATAGTTTTACAATTCCTTTTTACTAATTGCATGTTAAGTGAGGTAGATTTTTCTACTATCAAACTTCATGAATATCAAAATCAGAGATAAATATAGAACTGTATATTCCTTTGATAATCTTTGTTCACAAAGTATATTTTACAATAGCAAATACTTGTATACTTAACTAATATACTAAATTCATCTTGTGCAGATTTTTAATAAATCACTAAGTCTGTTACTTAATAAAGACAATCTTAAAATGTTTAAATTACAAGAGAAAAGGAAAAACATTTTAGAGGAAATCAAGCATATACCTATTTACTATTTAAGCTCTTAGCTCATTTTAAAATTCCTTAATATCTAGGCTCCTATTCATTCCTTTTTTTATTATCCATTACTTGTATTCCATGTCTAGCACAGGTTGAGTAAATGTGAGATAAAAAGCTTAAGAATTAGAAAAAAAAGAAAAGCAAACTTTCTGTCAAGAATCAGAGATGTATAAAACTAAGGATATAATCTAGGCTAAATCAAAGGGCACATCTGATCCAATATAAACATACATATTTTGGTATATAATAAAATTTTGTACTTGAGTCTATGTAGAATAGAAGAATGTGTAAGAACTTAAGTTCACTCACAAGAGGAATCTCATGTTGCAATAGATCTCTTTTCTCTGGAAAATATTTTTCAGGATCCAAAACAGCTAAAATTCCTCACAAATTATAATTATAGTTTATGAAATTTGGAAACCTGAGCTGCCTTAAATCATTTATAAAACAAGGTGGAATTATTAGTAAATAAATTATTTTACTGACTACTTTCCTTAGTAAGCTTAAATTATATTGTTTTCTTAAGAGTTTATATTTTCTTAAAAATGTCCTAGCCCTAACCGATTTGGCTCAGTGGATAGAGCATCAGCCTGTGGACAGAAGGGTCCCAGGTTCAATTATGATCAAGGGCATGTACCTTGGTTGCGGGCACATCCTCAGTAGGAGGTGTGCAGGAGGCAGCTGGTCAGTGTTTCTCTCTCATTGATATTTCTAACTCTCTATCTTTCTCCCTTCCTCTCTGTAAAAAAAAATCAATAAAATATATTTTTGAATATCTTATATTATCAATTCACATATATAATAAATAAATTTAAACATGTGTTTATACCTTTGTAATTGTTCTGATGCATTAAATAGATCAGAAGGCATCCTGATAGAAAAGTATTTCTTAGGGACTGTTACTTCTTAACAAGACTTCTTAACATCATAACCACAATTAGGACATGTTTTTATGAACAGATCATTTAAATTCTAAATATTTTATTTTATATTTATCATAAGCAAGTCAGACAAATGCATTGTAGTGGAACTCATAGGATGTAAAATATAGTAGTACTCAGTAGAAAATCAGGGAAGTATAAGACGGAAATGGTCTAGTTATGTGTCCATGAGAACATCATCAACTTCTGTATAACAAAGAAATGATGGAGTGGATCAATAAGTATCAAAGTAAGTGAGAAAAGAGATAGTGAACAAGAAATGCACTTATGAAATTAACTTTGTTTCTTGAATAGCATTTCACACTTTTCAGAAGAAAACATATTCATTTTTCCATCACTCCAAAATGGGAAATACTCTGTTATCCTATGTTATCAAATTCACTGAAAGCAAAGATAAAATTCAATGGGGGTAAATTTCCACAAACTGTTTGGATCCAGAGAATTACCCAGATGCTTATTAAACATTTAGGTTTTAAGTCCCACGTATACCTATTGAATCTAAATCTCCCCAGGTGGATGCTTATAATTAAGAATTGCACATACACAATCTCTATATATAAAATCATAATATGCAAATGGGCCGGACGGTGGAACAACCAGTCCACTGTGACACACACTGACCACTAACCCCGATGGAGAACTGGGAACCGGGGTGGATGGCAGGGGATGCATGTGGTGCCCTGCCTGTTGCCCCACATGCAGAGGGCGACCCTCAGCAGTGGCACAGGGTGGGGCTGGCTGCCAGCAGCTTGGAAGATCAGCTCTGATCACAGGCCAGGCCTAGGGACCCTACCTGTGCACAAATGTCATGTGCCAGGCCTCTAGTGTACTCTAAAACAAGTCACTTATTCTGATTTTCTTATACCAACCATTCTTAAGGGTTGAGGAAAAGAAGGCTAGAATTCTGACCCACTGTAATTTTAACTGTTTGGTCAAATATAGAATGGAAGAAAATGTTTAAAGCTTCCATTATTTTAAATATATATATATATATATATATATATATATATATATATATATATATATAGACTTTAGAGAGGAAGAGAAAGACATAGAAACATCAGTGATGAGAGAGAATCATTGATTGGCTACCTCCTGCATGCTCCCCAACTCAGGCATGTGCCCTGACCAAAAAACAAATTGTGACCTCCTGGTTGGGCTAAAACTTCTATGTTTTAATGTCTGAGTAATGTACTTACTACAGTTTTCAGCCTTCCTGTTGTCTCGAATCACTATTCTTTGGTTGACGGTGCTGAAGAGCATGGTCCAGTTGATGGTGTGGTAGTAGCACAGGTTGCTGTTGTCAGTGATATAGATGTTTCCTGCACTGATTTCCTTCAGGGACTGGAACTGCAGGGAAGTGATGCCTTGTTGCTTGAGGATAAGCAAGGAGAGGCCACTAAAGAAAGGGGAGAGGGAACGTGGAACAATAATAAATATTTTTTTTTTGTCCAGGGCATTCATTTCTGAAGTATATAAAATACAAGGTGTCACATCTTACTCCAAAAGATCAACAGACCACAGAGAGAGATTGAGTAAATAGATTTGTGCTAAAAATATTAATCTTCACATGCTAAATACTGGAGGTTTTAAAAGTAATACCCAAACAAAACATGTTCACTTTTAGAAGTATGGATATTAATGTCTTTGTGGACTTATTTACCATTGATGTATCTGCTCACTGCCTTCCCTCTTTCCCTCACATCTCCAGTTCCTCAAGGATGAAATACTGTGTTAAGGCTAAATAATTAAATAAATGTATGTGGAATGACTTTCATATACCCTAAGTAAGGTAATAATTATATTCTATTTAATAGATGCAGAATGCTTTCCAAGGATGGATATTGCAGAGAATGTGTTTGATATTATGCTTTCATTTACTTAGGAACAAAAGAATAATTGCAAAAACTGAAGAATGTTTAAATAAAGGTAGGAGATATAAAAATTTACAGAGATGATTTATATTAAACTTCAATTTTACAAAATACACAGTAGGCTTGGACAACTGGGGAAAGAATTTCTAAATGTTAAGTAACAACTACACGGTAGAAACAATCATTTCAAATAAATTGTTTTTATTTTAAAATAGTCCACTTTTTGTAATTAAGTGCCTTTTGCATTCCCTGAAGAATAACTGTGTTCCCCACATTTCAACTAATGGACATGATTTTACATTTTGGGGATCAAAACCGTTCCCTTTTATTTTACTTCTAAATCTAAAAATAGTTTGCTGACATATATATCAGCAAAATATATTAATGTGTATGTGTGTACTCAACTGAGCTGTAATTCATTTTCTCAAATCCTGGCTCCCATTATAAATACTTTGATTTGTAGATTATGAGTATAATGATGCCTTGATATATTTATAATATTTTATTCAGTAGATGATGAAATTCATTGCAGATAACATCTGAGTAAGTTGTATCTCTGAACTATCCTTTTATATTAATACTTTCCCATTTACCTTTTAAAACCTCTTATACCTGTTTTAATAGCAAAATTCAATGACTTTTCTGTGAAATACCATCATATAATATTTGACAACAATATTGATTTCATAAAACATTTAGATTTAAGCAATAAACATTAAAAGATCCTATATACATAAGTCTTTAACTCTTCATAATCAAGATTTTCATAAAGATAAAAATATGAAATAAAAGCAGTGGCTTAATACATATTAACTCTACTTTTATTACATGAATAAAACTATTGACATTGGAACAACATCCTTTTGAGCCCTGATTGTTCTGTTTATTACAACTAACACTGCACACGGGGAGGTGGACTAATTCCTGAAACATCAGCTCTATGATGCTTGGTTCAAATGAAAGCACCAGAGGCAAAACAAGAACTTCCGGTATGGAAGTTCTCTCCCCTATATCTGAGCCATTTCTAACCACTCAACTCTCCCTTTTAATTATAATAAAATATGATAAACAGAGGGCTTAATTTTATGTTTCATATTATGTGTTCCATACCTACAAAACATTACTTTAATGATGGGTGATCAGAAAATCCAGCTGTGTATTCTATATACTTTAAGCACAACTGGGGTATGTTTTTTTGACCATACATTGGAATTAAAAGAAGAAACCCAGTATTTCTAGAATCAGTAAATTCAGGAGGTTAATAGTTTTGATATAGTATACACGTGATGCTACTCTTGAATTCTGGGAGACCCGCATCTTCGAATATATAAACCTACCTGTAGAGGACTCTGCCTCCGATGGTCACCAGGTTAGAAAAAACACTGAAGTCAGTCATGTTTGGGGGCCATGACTGTATGTTCAAGAAACCTATAAAAGAAGAACACAGCAGAAAATTTCATTACATCATTGTCTGGGCAATAGTGCATAACACTGATTATTCCTGAAATATGATGAAAATGTGCTGATACATAAGAAAAGGGAAGTGAATATTCCTTCTTTTAAATAATTCTATCTCATATTTCTTCTTCTAAAGTGGAGTGCCTTAGCCAACATTTCATGACTCCAACACACCAAAGAATATCAAAGGAGGGGGACAAAGAGGGAATAATGAGGGACATTTGCAATATTGCCAATAACAATAATGACAATAATGACAATGAGACCAAAATCTATATTTCTCAGCCATATGGAATTATATAATTATAGATGTTAAATAACATAAATCGTAATTTAATGCATTCTTCTAAAACCAAAAATATTAGTCTAACTAGATAAAGAGAAAATTTCAAATCCTTTACCACTGTGTCTATACACTTATACCCCATTTACCCATCTTGCATTCTAAGACATAGATATATATAAACTTACCCCTCCTCATTTGACTTTATATGCTTTAATAACAAATAATGTTTAATTCATGTCTATAAACCCAAAACATCTACTATAATAGTACCAAATGTATTACATGCTCTATAAACATGTGCTAAATGAATGATGTGCATTACTCACACTTCTTGTGAGAGGTAAAAACAAAACAAAAACAAAAAAAAAAAACGTGCTTTCAAAGATCAATTGACACTTGCAAAACAGTAACATCAAAATTTAAAGGACATTTTACTCTAAATTCTATGGGCTTTTAAAATGTGCACACATGCAAAGGAGTAGAGAATTGCATTAATTTTGACATTGAGCTTCTGGTTCCAATATTAGGTAATATTTTCAAGAAATCGTTAAAATCCACATGGTTAATAACACAAGTGCACTTGAAAAATTACCTGTTATCTCTCGAACTGTCCGAAAGACATTCAGTTTTTCTGGGTCTATAGCTTCAATCGCATTGTAAGGGTCCCTAGAAAACCCAGGAGAGAAGCAGTCAGATTCAAAATTAAATAAAGAAATAAAAATATAAAAATGTGACATTATTTTATTCAAGTTGAACGGTCATTATCAAGAGGAAGGTTAACAATGTGCGTCCAAATTTTCCTGTCTTGGATATGGAGAAAAATTTAAAGTGGCTTTGAGGACCATTTTGATGACAGAGGATTTGAGTTCACCAAAGGCAAGTCTAGATTTAGGGAAATGATTCGGTTTGATTATACTGAAGAAATCTCCAAATATAGCAAGTCCATTTATTATCCATGCTTTATATTTTGCTTTAAATGAGAAAATAAAACCAGCAAATAAATTATGTCATAGTAAGGGTCCTCAAAGCACTCAAAATTGTGAATAACACTTGTAATTTCTTAAGAAGCATAAAAGCCAACACATGAAGTCACCATTTTTTTTTTGCTGTATCTCCACATTTACCTATTAGCGATTTTTCATATTTATAACATTATGTAAAAGTTCCTCTTCATATGAATTATTTAGAGCAATTCTGTTCCTAACTGATATTTATATTCATTTTTATAACAGACCTAGTTGCTTCCATCTATATAAATCACACTAACATTGAAAAACACAATTTACAACAAATTTAATAACATTCAAAAGGTGTTATAAATTTGAAGATCTAATGCATACACATATTTTTATAAAAATGTTTCTGATATATATATATATATATATATATATATATACATACACAGAGAGATGTCCTGTCTTTTCAAAACTAAACATAAATATCTTTTAAAATTAAATGTTTAATAGGGTTGTTTTTTTCAGAGGTTTTCATCTTAACTTTTTTTTGTATACTATACTGATCACATAAAATTTCACACTTGAATAGTAAGCAAAACATAAACATAATGATACCAAACATTTCCCCGTAATTCAAGGAATATTTTTGATGTTTAAGAAATACATAGTATTTTTTAAAATGTTTGATTACTTTAAAACTATTCTGTGCTATCCTGCGCAAGTAGAGACCCAATATTAATATGTACTCTTCAGAGGAAAACTGAATTCTCTTCATTGACCACTTCTCCAGGAGAGATCAAACCTTCTAACAACAATGAACTTAGACTTTTTTAGAAGCATATTCACCTGTAGCCATAAATTGAGTTTTATTCTTGCTGTGAACATCTGCCATTTTTTTGCAACTTATACATATATGCAATCTTTATTTTTTATATTGTTTCTTTTTTGATTTTTAATTAAATATATTGGGGTGACATTGGTTAATAAAATTATATAGGTGCAAATGTACAATCCTATGTTATATAACTTGTACATTGCACTGTGTTGCCCACCACCCAAAGTTAAATCTTCTTCTGTCACCCTATATTTGACCCCCTTTACTTTTTACTACTTCCACCACCTCTCTTCCCTCTAGTAACCACTATACTGTTGTCTGTGTCTAAGTTAACACAACTGTGTTTTACCAATCTTTAGGAACCTTCTTTTGTGTCAGGGAATAAACACTAAGATGCAGTGGCACACTGGATGTAAGTTTAACAGGACTATCAACCCAGGTGCTCCATAGTCCCCTGACAAATTGGCATATGGCCTGTTTGGGGAGAATCTGAGTGTGAATCTACTGGCTTTTATTTATCTTAGAGCCTCTTACAGACTCCATTAGTTCCGGCAACCATGCTATATGGAACTACCTTTAGTGCAGCTCTCTCCACGTGATTCATTGGCATATTCTTCTACACTGTGAATATCCCATATTGTCAAAGTGAAAGAAAAAATGCTTGATTAAATTACTGTTTCAAACTAAGAAGTGCGGTCCATTTACTGTACAACTAGTTTAACATGGAGAGTTACGGACAGCTTGGAGAAACACTATAAATGAGCTTCCCTATAATTCATACATAAACAATGAATATTTTCATCAATGTGACATGAAGAGCCCTCAAAGGCTTCAAATCTAAATTAAATGTGCTGGCACACTTGCTCTATTTATAACTGAAGATGCATAGAATGAATGACTATGGCTTGTATGAATAGAAAGCAAAAAATATTAAGTTCACTGTGTGGTAGAATTCTTGTCGTTATCCTATTTTATGGGCAAAGACTTTTGTATGCAGAAGAAATGTCAGCACTACAGTAGCAGAATGAACTTTCAATATTTGATTTTTGATGAAAAGCAGTGAAAGCAGTGTCTGGAACAGGTCTGGTCATACAACAAAATATTCTGACTTTATTGAGAAACACTCAAAACCCAGGGCAAGCACACAATAATGGGGTCACTGGGTCCTATATTGAGAACGTGTCCAGGTTGTGGGAAATTAAGTGAATTCTGGACTGTTCACATGCAGCCCAATGGACCACAGAAATTTTATATATTTAATTTAAGAGATTCAGGACTCTCATAAAATAAGTTGACAGAACCCCACTTACCAACTTCAGAGTACCTATAAGAAATCCACAGAACTAGAAAATTGAGAAATTTGCTAGCTAAATTCATAATTGTGAGTAAGAACTCTGTGACAGTTGGCGATCCAACATAAAGCTCAGGATAAAGAGAGAGCAACATATTTTCACAATCACATCACAATATATTTCTTCATTATCACATGTCCATTGTCTCTCATCATTCCAGTCTGTCATCTAAATACTTTTCTGTCAGTGTCTCATTGTGACACAGCCTGGACATGTATATCTAGTGAGCATTTTGTTGCTTCAAGCACATGTGCATAAACCATGTCAAACATGACAAGATTAAAGTGGATCATTCCTACGGATAACCCTAATCACCGAGTTTTGCCTGTGGTTCCCATTCTAAATAAGGAAACAATAGTACCTAGTCCATTTCTGTCAATGGCACTATTGTTCTAGAAACTAACATTTTCTCTTATTTCTCCTTTACATAGATCTAGAGACATAGAAGCATGGAACAGAGTGTTTAATCTCAGAGAAAAGGTAGAGGTGGGTGGGTGGGTGGAAAACAATTAACCAAATAATTTATATGAATAAATGCATAACCCCTGGACATAGACAATAGAATAGTGAAGGCCTGGGGTAGGGGGATGGGTGTGGCCTAGAAGGGGTCAATGGGGAAGAAAAGGGATTATCTGTAATACGTTCAATAATAAAGATAAATTTATAAAAATAAATTACAACTGAAGAATTAAAATCACTTATAAAATTGTGTGTGTGTGTGTGTGTGTGTGTGTGTGTGTGTGTGTATGGAAGCTTTCTTATCTATGACTTTTATTTCAGAATTGAAAAGGAAGTATTAAAATGCTGAATATATTGCCAAAACCGGTTTGGCTCAGTGGTAGAGCGTTGGTCTGCAGACCGAAAGGTCCCAGGTTCGATTCTGGTCAAGGACATGAACCTTGGTTGCGGGCACATCCCCAGAAGGGGGTGTGCAAGAGGCAGCTGATCAATGATTCTCTCTCATCGATGTTTGTAACTCTCTATCCCTCTCTCTTCCTCTCTGTTAAAAATCAATAAAATATATATTTAAAAAATGCTGAATATATAAGAGATGGATATTGGTTTGACTGGGATGGAAACCACTTGTGTAATATAATTAATGTGTCTGTTTTCCACATTGATGGAATTCATTTATTATACCCACATGAAATTTATTATATCCAGGTGAAATCAGAATATACTGTTAACATGATATGATCTGTCATTCATGGTGATATTTGGTATTCAGTATAGATAAAATATGACTATGTTGTTTTACTAAGTGTCACATATGCATTAAATTATATGGAAGATTTTAAATATCAACACAGGTCTTCTCCCCAAAGGCCAAGGAGGCATTGATGACAATGACAAATGGATACAAAGAGCCAGTGGGGACTAGAGCCAATTTGATTGAATGTGTCCCATCTAAAACGGCTAGTACTACCTCGCTTGAAGAGATTGTTGCTATATAAAAAATGTGGGCTAAGATGAGTCAAGTGCATACATTTTTAAAAAGAACTTAGAAATCCTGACCTTTAAAGAAAATACTACAAGGGCCAATATATCATACCTGGGGTAGAAAGTACATACATATTATTAGAGTAGCTGGCATAGACCCATATTCAAAGTTACAGTCTTAGGTAAAGAAATGCTTATGTAATAAGACCAAGAGTAATTTATTTAAATAGAAAAAAAAAAACAAACAAACTACTCTGTTCTATTTCTCTTGCTGTTTCTATTAGGACATGTTTATTCTAAATGTGTTAAATTATGTTCCTTCTAGAAATGATATGATACACGTTTGAGTAAGATTTTGAACTGAAATGTGGGAGTGATATTTTTTATCTATAGCCTGTAGCACTAACAGATAGGGGTGAGGTAGTAATGTAGACAGACAGATAAAATGTAGAGTGAAAATATTAACATTTTTATTGCAATGGAAAGACTACAAACTGGGTTGTTTTCCTAGTTAAAAGCAGCAGGTGGTTCTGCTATGAAGGAGCCTAGAAAATGTTATGATTTTTACTGCTAAAATGAAATCCATTTTATAGATCTCTGAGAGCAGTACGAACTTTCCAGTCTTAGAAAAAAAGAAAAATACACGTAAGGACAAAGAGACATTCTGAAAGCTCAGGACAACTTCAATTTACTGATTTGCTTTTTGTTAGATACTTTTTCAAAAGAAATATTCACTTAAGTAAATATTGCCTTACATTAATTTGCTTTAAATTATTATTTTTTTTTAGAAATTTGAATAAAATTCCCCACTTCACCCAATGATATCGTTCTCCTAATCATATCTGAAGATATGCCAAGCTTGCTGAAATCTAAGGATTTAATGAGAATGTCCTGCTAATACATTTTAGCTTGCATATCAATTTATATTTTAAATCTATCCAGTCACTAATCTCATGATCTGACACATCCCACACGCTGGTTTACCATCGCTGCTGGTGACGCCTGGCATCCCTTTTTGTTGGAAAAGAGCATTACCACGGGGAGAACTCTTCTGGGTCAAAAGGCCAAACAGACAAAGCAAAAGCCTGTTTTAAGCTGTGCCCACACTTACACAATAACTCTCCGCAAACATGTAATACTAACCCATGAATGCCGGTGACAAGGAAGATCAAATTCCCATTGATCTTGGTGCAGTTTACGAATTTGTCGATGTTGCTGGAATCCACGGTCTGCGCTGACATCAGGGACCCCGTGCCAATGCCATCACAAGCTGGGGAAACAGAGTCACAGCCGGGAAACGGAGAAACTCTTTTCAGTCAGTGAATCATTCCTTTTTCGTTATAAAATAACGTATACTTTCATTATCAAATAAGTCTTTACCATAAGAAATACATTGCTTTCTAACAAATAATCCATTCATGCAACATTTACTACTTGGCCTGCTTATAAATAGTATCCCAGTTTTATTATCTAGTGACCATGACTGATAAGAATTATATTTTATATCAAGACCCTACATATATGTATAACAGATACAAAACTCAAACAAAACTTTCCACAATAAGTACTTCCTCTTACTAGATAAAATCACCTCATTTCTAATCCATCCTAAAATATTTCTTTAAAAATACTTTTTAAATTCTGGTCCCTTAAATAATTTCATAGTCTAATGAGAGTCTACCATCTGAAGTTTTGAAATCACTGGCACAGTTAAGAATATATATTAAGCAGAGTATTGATGATGTGAGTTGAGTTAAGTCAAGTCTTACCTGTGCCTTCTGAAGGCTGTATTTAAAAAAACAAAACACACAAAATACTTGTGTGTTTGTATGTGTGAGAGAGAGAGAGGAAAGAGAAAGAGAGAGAGAGAGAGAGAGAGAGAGAGAGAGAGAGAGAGAGAGAGAGAATGTAGTCTAGTAGTAAGTCTTAAATTTGTCCTTTTAAGAGTTTAAGGCATTCCTGCTACTTTGAAAAATTCAAAATATTAGAAAATTTTGAACTGCATGTTTGTCTTGCTTAATTTAAGTTTCATTCTGGTGAGGAATTTGAGCACCATAGCTAGAAGGTTCTTCTTTCTCCACTAAAATTATAGAACATAAATTATATGTGTTTATTTAACACTTATGGTAAACATCTCTGTTATTTTATATATTTTATCTTTCAAAATAATTTTAAGACCAGGAAATAAATGTCACATTACATTTCTCTTTGTGCCCCTTTTTAATGCATACCAGATCATTTTCTATACACTGGCAAGCAACAAATATGTGTTCATGATGCTAAAATAATTGTGTGAACACTTGTTTTGCTCCTCATTTCTAAGATTTGCTGAATATAGAATAAAATGCAACTTTTTTCCCCCCCTGAGTTCCTATCAAACTTCAGTCTGAATTTTATGTGGGCCATTTTGATTTATTATCATTCAAAATCAGTAATAGACGCTGTTACAATAGTAGACACTTTGGGAACTGTTCAGTTATGGAAAGGTGTGTGTGTGAGGTTTGGTTGTGGGAGCAGTGTGTGTAAGAGGCCCCATTAAAACACTCAGGAGCACTTTGTTGTAGGCCTCCCAGCTCTTACTCACCTTTTGGGCAAATATCAGTGCAAGGTTTGCACATTTTAATCCCGTTTTCCTCCACTTCCATCTTGGAACTAGGGCAGGCACGCACGCAAGAACTGGAATCGACGACAAAGTTATCTGAAAAAAAAAAAAAAAAGGTAAAATGAGCAATAGGAGGATGTCCTGCAAGCAAGTTTACAAGGAGCTATTTTGCGGTGTGAAAATAATTAGCATGTTTGATAGTATACATGTCTATTGCCCTGAAACACCTGTTTAAGTATCTCGACCTGAGATAGCATCCGGGACCATCCACATTTGAATCTGAGGACCGCGTGTATTAGCAACGGGTACTACTTGCTTGACTGAGCTCCACAGCCCGAACTGCCCCTACAATAGAGCACATTTCCTTTACAGACTTAGGAAACTACGTGACATTTTGTTTGTGTTTTTCAATAGTTCCACTTCATTTCAGGTCATGATGCAAGTCTGAAGTTTAAAATACTTCAAGTCGCAGGAAGCACAAATAACACTGAAGTTAAACTGCCGTGGATCAAGAGAGTGCACTTCACATCCCGGAAGAAGCTTTAAAAATGTGTTTGATCTTTCAGTGAGTGCCACAGGAACCGTCCCGTAGCTGGACACGGTGAGACAAAATGAAAGCTCACAGGGCACGGCTTCAGAAAGGTGCACAAGATAGACCAAGAAGATCCAATGGCCTGAAACATGGATAAACTGTTTGGGGTCCAGAGATATGGACTGTGCCAGGACATTCTCCCTCATGGAAAGGTCACAGTACTGCATTTTGAGTTTGGGATGTTTTTTTTTTTTTGTGTGTGTGTGTGTTTATTTGTTTTTTGTTTTGTTTTTAAATATATATAATTTCAGAGAGGAAAGGCGAGGGAGAGAGAGATAGAGACATCAATGATGAGAGAGAATCATTGATTGGCTGTCTCCTGCACACCCCCAGTGGGGATTGAGCCCCCAACCTGGTCATGTGCCCTTGACTGGAATTGAACCTGGGACCCTTCAGTCCACAAGCAGATGCTCTATCCACTGAGCCAAACCAGCAAGGGCTTGAGTGTGGGTTTTAAAGGCAGCATCCTTCCATGTCTGTGAATACTGCTGCTGGCCCCATGGTCAGTGATAATGGGAGGTTTCTGGCTGTCAGGGGGACTCAAGGCACAAAAGGCATATGGTACAGGTCCAGGCTAGGGTGTAAGCAGCACTGCGACTTGGGTAAAACCCGAGAGGAATTATGATATTAGGTGTATCTATAGATGCCATGTGGAGTTTTGGCAATTAATAATTGAGAAATCGCAAGAGCCTCTGGGATTCTGGCACTCAGCCACACCATCCACAGCATAAAACCACATGCCACTTCCTAAACAGTGCCTGGGTCAGGGTAGAGACAGAGGATCAAACCAGGGGTCAATAACTGATTGACCTGGTAGCCAGACTTTCCTTTAATAAACTGAGTTTGTTAGAATCATGACGTCATCATGTTTGACAGGCCCCACAGAAACCCCTGGGAAGATGGAGGCAGTAGATTTGGGATTGGATGTGACCTCCAGCAGACACACAAGTAAAGTAGTAAGCAGTTGGTCCAGACCTCCACATTGTCCCCCACTGTGCTGGCACTGCCCACTCTGCTAACACCTGAGACTGAGTGAGGAGGAAGATAGGGCTCTTAGGACAAGCTGATGGAGGAGGACAAACGCTAAGCTTGATATGTGTGTGCAAGCAGGTGACACTGGTGGCAGCTGCCCTGTGGCCTCACTAAAGAGTGGACCTGAAAGGTAGTCAAATGATCATTTTCTTTGTGTGGAAGTGACCTAAGCTTGGAATAAACATGAACTCATGAGCAGTGGCTTGCCCTGGGGAAAGAAATCCTCAAAATTCTGGAAATGAAGGGAATCTGGGGTAGATGGATATACGAATATATTAATGAATCCATGAGATTGGGCAGAATGCTTGAAGACGCTTGTATTCCAAGTTACCACCCACTAGAGGGCACCCATCACCAAAGGAGGCACTCAGGTGGCTGTGTCACAGCCTGATGGTATTTGCCTTCCTTCCCCAGGGGACTTGATTCAGAGAACACTCTTTCACACCCTAAACTCTGTCTCAGGGCAACCCAACCTGCCGCAGGTGCATGTCCTGTATAATATGCACTCCCTTACTGCAAAGTCTTTAGAAATATCCCTTATTCCACATTTTTGCAGCAATTTATGCCATGAAGAATAAATAAAAATTATAAATAGCTTGGTGTCAAATTCAGGTTCAAGTTCTTCAGTTAAATGGGTTTGTTATTTGGACTTTTCAGGTTTGAGAACTCCGGATTAGGGATTGAGAGCAGTATTTAGAAGCTAAACATCACTCCCTTCCCCCACCCTGCCTCCTCCAGATTAGCAACCATGCCTTATGAGCAAAGTCCACCAAAAATTTGAATTTTAAATAAATGCGGAAGTGATTTTAAATATATATATTTAATAAATACACACACACACACACACACACACAATTTTTTATTGACTTCAGAGAGGAAGGGAAAGGGAGAGAAAGAATCATTGATCAGTTGCCTCTGCATGCCCCCTACTGGAGATTGAGCCTGCAACCCCAGGCATGTGCCTTTGACCATAATCAAACCCTGGACCTTTCAGTATGTGGGCTCACACTCTACCCACTGAGTCAAAGCGGCTTGGGCTGAAATGTTAAATTTGTCTGTAATTGGTAGATCTAAGCTAATCTGAAAAAGGAAGTATATGAGATACCGTATCTGAGGTAGCTGGGCATGTAATTCCACTAATAGTTCTCAGCATTTAGCCACTTGCCAAAATTTACAAGAGTCTTCAGATGAGCCCCCATAAAGGATACAGTAAAGAAAGGGAATTCCAGAGCCCAAATTTTCATGGTAATTCTTCCACCCCAGCCCACCCCCTGGGCTTCAAACTCAGGACTTGAATAAAAGGTAATCTATCAAAAAATCACCCCAAAAGCATAGTTTTGACTGACTTTGGGCAAAGGCATCATCATTTGAAGGTAGTAGAATAGGAAAACATTTGTCTAAGGAAAAACTTCATCATCTAGCCCCATCTTATAATATTCTGAAGCTTCCTATTTTGCAGGGATACTAAATGGTGACATACAGAGTAACTTTAAATAAGAGGTTATTAGATCAAGAACATAAATTTGAATATTAAAGTATTTAAAATGGAAAAATCTCTACTGTCCAAGAGTTATTGTGTCTGTTACTTTAAAATCCTAATTCAAAGGCATATATGCATAACAATTCATTTAATTAATATAAAATATTTAATAATTAGAATTGTCATTGTATTCAAAACTTGTTTTTATATACTACTTCTGATTCTTTTTCCCCCTCTCCCTTTGATACTTATAATGACTTTGAGAAAGAGAGAGAAGATATGATTATTATCCTCAGCATCTTAGAGAGGAGGAACTAAAAAACAAACAAACATAAACCTAAGTTCACTTAGAATCACATGGTGAAAATTAGGCAAAGCCAGAAGCCAGGCCACTCTGACCCCATGTCACACCCCCTGTACCACCACATTCATAAGCCAAGGAAACCATAATGCTCAATGGTGTGGACTATAAAGCCTTCTTCTTCTAAATGACTAGGTGAACAAATGTAGTGGTTTTTCCACTTTTCCATCAAATAAGACATTGACGAAAAATCCCATTGCTCACTCCAAGTAAAGAAACTTACTCAAGCAGATATCAGAACACGTTTCAGTGAATTACTGATGAAAGTTAAGCTGGTTACTTTACATTCCCAGGGTGAATTATCTATTTGGTGAAGATCTCTTAGAGTGCCCTTCTTATTGTTTACTACGATTTGATACTGAAACTATAGTGCTATATATTCTATTACAAATAAGTAATCAGAAATAATTTTAGGTAAAAATACATTGGTATTAGAAGCGAACGCCATTCATTACATCGCTTACTGCCCTAAAACTAATCACTTTTCTAAGAAACAGCATCATGTGGAAAAGCAATGCTATATCGTGAAAATAATGAGTTTGGAAGTCAATGAGACCACACTCAAACATACCACTTCTGTTCTGATACCGATCATATCATTTAAATTTCTTTATCTTTGAAATGGTAGCAATAGTCCCCATACCCAAGTAATTCATGATATGACAGATTTTAAGTAACAATAAATTTACATGAAATTATTTTGCTTTCAAATAATGATGTAATTGATTTGACTATTCTTATCTTCTACTTACGTGGGCATTTCTTGACACAAAATGCTCCATATGTGTACTTGGCATTGAAGTTATGCTCTAGTTGAAAGGTGGTTGGGTTGTAGACAAAGGTTTGAGGACACTGAGTCACACATGCTCCACTATCATTGAAATTCATGCAGGCCTGCAACATACCAAGTATTAATTTCATTAAAAAATAATCCTAATAATAATTATTTTAAAAATATATTTTATTGATTTTTTACAGAGAGGAAGGGAGAGGGATAGAGAGCTAGAAACATCAATGAGAGAGAAACATCAATTAGTTCCCTCCTGCACACCCACTACTGGGAATGTGCCCACAACCAAGGTACATGTCCTTGACCAGAATCAAACCTGGGGCCTTTCAGTCTGCAGGCCGACACTCTATCCGCTGAGCCAAACCAGTTTCGGCAATAATTATTATTAAAGAACAGTTTTTAGAGAAGTTTGTGTACTTTACTAAGTATATATCAATTTCATGAAAACTGTAAATTTTGAAAATTTCATAGCTATTAGTGCTTAATTTTAAGTTCAAACTTGCTTAGGACTTCTACAATTCTACAAAACTGTTTTTCCAATGTCGGTAATACCATCTATAGTTTATTAATGTTCAAATTGTTTAGCATCTATCCACTAATTTATGAATGGTCATTTACTTTAAATTATTAAAATTAGTTAATAGTGAAAAATTATTAAACCCACACTGATTCAAAGGGTTTATGTTGAGTCTTAGAGTCTAGTGCTAATAACCAAATCCCCAGTTCTACAGGGGGTTTTGTTATTAGTGCTAGACTAAGTGCTAGACTCTTTTACAAAAATATTTTATTGTTTTCAGAGAGGAAGAGCGAAACAGAATTGTCAATGATGAGAGAGAATCATTAACTTGCCGCCTCCTGCACTTCTCCTACCGTGGATTGAGCCTGCAACCCAGGCATGTGCTCTTAGCCTGATACCCTTCTGTCCACAGTCTGACTCTATCTACTGAGCCAAACCAGTTAGGGCCAGGTTAGACTACTCTTAAAGCTAGTGTTTGGAGAGTTCAGTGCCTTCGGTGACATTCATGTTCACTGTGTAGTGAGAAAACACACAATAGCTAATAACACTGAACTCAAAGAAAGGCTCTCGCAGGTGACTGGTCAAAGGGTAAATGGAGGGGTATTTAATGCCAAATTAAATAATATGATGCTATTTTCACAATGCCACACAACTTGGTACTAGCCACCAATTCAAGTAAAATATTTAATTTCCACTGGCATATATTCGTATTAAAATCTCAATTTGTTAAATTGTTCAAATGCCTTTAAGAATAATTAAAAATAAATTTACTACCCAAAAGTGAGGTATGTATTAAAAAAATGGAACATAATGACGTAAAAACATGTGATTAACAAAGAGTGGATGAACTAAATCTCATAATTAAAATACATTATACCTCCTTAGGAATAATTTAGGCCTTGCAAAGCAGGCTAATGTGAACTCAAATAGTAGTTTACAGTCATCATAAATTGTATGTATGATTATTAATAAGCACTAATTTATTCTGTTTCCTCAAAACATTTTCTTCATCAGTTGTTGTTTTAGCAAGCACTTTATCACCAACATGACAATTCCCTGATGATGGTCTTACAAGATGCATAATCAGAACAAGAATCACTGACGATACATTATTCACTGAGCTGACACTTTCCAGGAAGAATCTATTAAAAACCAATCTAGAAAACTCAGTAAGTTTTAATTTATGGCCATAAAACTTCATGTGTCCTCATAATTGCTTTACTAACATACTTTATGAGATGTTGTGTGCAGATTGCTTAGCAACAAAGGAACATAAGCCAGAGGAACCCAACAAACACAATATGGTTTACACTTTGGTCTTGGTCTGGCATTCCTAAGCATCCTGTAGCCAATGCCAAAGTGGAATCGTGGGGCCATTCCATAAAAAATGCAATAAAAATTCCGGAGCCCTCTTGGCACTCTGCTTATCATGGCAATGGGATCATGAACAAAACAGAGTGAAAGCTCTGGCTATTGGTGTTTTATTGCCGTTACTGTTTTGGAACTGTGAACCCAATGCTTGTTTAGTGTCCCCCAGATCTCATTTCCAGCCCATGACTGGAGACAAGCAAATGAAAAGGTCTCAATGCAAGAACTGCTGAGGAGCTGCTCTAAATTCTTACACTTTAATATTCTCTTCTTCCTCCTGACTCACTTCCTCTGCAATACAGACCTCTGTTCACTGTAGAATTAGGGGAGACAAGTTAAATTTTTGTGACATTAAAAAAAATCACAAGTGACCATAAGAGCTGTAGTTTCTGTTCTGCTTATTTTTCATAAGTAAGTGCCAATTTAAAAAATTGCTCAATTCTAAATATACATGTGTGTTCTCTGAATATTTGAGAAGGGGTAACAAGGAAATAAATTCCTGTGTTTATTTTTAACAACAAAAACAACTTATGAGTTAGCTTAAAGTGTTCTGTGTGTGTATAAAATTGCATTAACTATAGCTCACAGAATTGCTTGTATGTATTCAAAAGGACAGAAAGAACTGTATCCGAGCTATCAAAATATAATTAAAAGTGCCCCCAATAAGTGCTACATGTTAATTTTAAGAATGTAAAAGTATCCTCTTCTAAAATAAAAATCACACGGATTAACATGTAAAACTCTTCAAGTGTGTATTTGTAAATCTCATAAATTTTGAATCATATCCATTTGTAAACAACATAAAAATGCTTAAATTTATAAACATATCTTAAATTCATATTTAAGAAATAAAAATCCAAGTGTCTCCACTCAGAAACTCAATGACACAACAACATAAAGAAGTAATCACTGTAAATGTTGGGAAAATGCTATTAGTTTTTAAAAGATGTTTCAATATGCTCTCCTTCAATCCTCTAATAAATCTCACTGGTAATATAAATTTCAACAGAAAAACATAACAAACAATCCTAGCTCATCAACTGCCACCCAGTGAATGCATGACTTGTAGGAAGGTAGAGAATATTACTTAATCCTAAAGTGGTTAAATGAGGTCTTTTTCAATCGGGTGTTAAGGATTCAATGTGCCTGAGACAAACCAAGAAGGGAGGAACAAAGAGCACCCACACTTACAAAGCAGTCGGTGTCCTTCGGACCTGAGCAGCCTCCAGCACACTCTCGATGACAGCAGTCACTGACGTAGGGTCCGTAGCATCTGCCATCACATTGTTCGGCACACACCGTCCTTGTCACTGCAGAAGACAGATATGAAGCCTGGTCAAATCAGCCACCAAGAGAAGTATCTAAGGGGACTTGGAGTGAGTAGCTGGAAAAAGCTGGCCTCTAGAATGTCAATGGACCCACTATTGACTCCATTCAGCTAACACGTGCTGAATGAAGTCCGCAACTGATCAAAATCACTGCACAAAAATTTCAAAATTAACACATACATTAATTTATAGAGTATTTCTTGTGCAAGCAAATTCTATTGTGATTTACTAAAACCATACAATTTGACCCAAGAGAATTAAGTTTGAAATAACTGAATGAGGCACTCTAGTAGGTTATGAAACATGGAATCAATTCCCACTGGGCACAGTTAGGTCCGATAGCATGTGTCCCCAGAAATAAACCTGAGGTTTTTATCGGTCAGTGCAAAAAGAAAAAAATATAAATCTTTACATGGTTCATATTATATCTTACATGATTCATATTAGATAGACAGATATATAAATGAAATGGGGTCGGGGGAGACAGACAGGGAGGGAGAGGGAGAAAGATAGAGAAAAAGAGAGATAGAATTAAGCAGTAGTAGCACAACTCTTTCTATTCCTAAGATATCAGTGACATTTCTACTGACAGTCTTCAAAAAGAAGAACCAGGTAAGGAACAGAGCGATATTCTTAAAGGAAGGAATGGAAGGAAAGAAAGAAGAAGGTAAGAAATAAAAATGGGAGTGAGGGAGTACAGGAGGAAGAACTAAACACTAAACACAACAAAAACTCCCACTGGTCTTTTCCTATAACACCCTTTAATACAGTTGGCAGAATCCTATAGGTACATTTTAGTAAAATCAATGCTATAGACTGGGCTTCAACCTTACGGTATTAAGTAAAATAATTCTGCTTATCTCACTTATTGAAGGGATATTTTAAAATATTTTGGAGAACTAAATTTTATAGGATACTAGAGGCCTGGTGCATGAAATTCATGCATGGAGGAGAGGTAGCGTCCCTCAGCCTAGCCTGCACCCCTCTTCAATCTGGGACCCCTCGAGGGATGTCCAACTGCCTGTATAGGCCTGATCCCATTGGCAGTCAGACATCCCCGTCAAAATTCAGGACTGCTGGCTCCCAACAGCTTGCCTGCCTGCCTGATTGCCTCTAACCGATTCAGCCTGCCATCCTGATTATCCTTTAACCACTCCCCTGCCTGCCTGATCGACACCTAATTGGTCCCCTGCAAGCCTATTGTCCCTAACTGCCCTCCCCTGCTGGCCATCTTGTGGCAGCCATCTTGTGTCCACATGAGGGTGGCCTTCTTTGCTCACATGGGGGCAGTCATATTTTGTGTTTTGGAGTGATGGCCAATTTGCATATTACCTCTTTATTATATAGTATGTGTAGCATGTCACTTCTTGATTTCTGTATTTCCATTTCAGCCTTGTGTCTTCCTACCTCATTGACTAGTTATTCAAAGCTTCCTTCACTGCTTCCATAGCAAAGCAAAACTCCTTAAACATTAGTATTCCTCAGAATTGGTCTTGGTTGAATTTGGCAATTTTCTTGGGCTGTGGGCTCATGCCTGAATGAAATCATTCATCTTTTACTTTGCATACTACTTTCAGATTCAGATTTGAATTCTTTATTGAGCTACAGCATGCATCTCTCTCTTTAATTCTCTTCCTCTCTCACTTCCTTTATTTCCCTCCCCTCTGTCCCTTCCTTCTTTTTTGCATTTTTGTTATAGCATCAATCACCATCTAATATATTTTACAACTCATTTGTTTGCTAGTGTATTCTAATGTCTACTTGGCATTCCCGTACTTTTTAGTTATATTTCATATACATTACTTCTACATAATACAGTATATGAAATATACCCAAATATATTACATTATATGTACATTAATGTTCCTACATTTTATCCAAGTAGTATATTTATTTAGATGTCCCAATTTGTAAACCATACCATATAAAGAAAATATTATTACATATTATATTTAAATAACAAGTTTAAATATAATTCCTCTTTCTTATTTCAAAAGGCTTTTTTGATGTACCAAGACCTACTAATTAAAACAGCAGATAAATGTTAAGTAACCAAATTACTAGATTTGAAATAAGTTTTATCATAGGATTGTCTATTAATTTGCTTTTAATGAAAAGGAATCAACTTGCTCAGTTGGAAAATAACATGAAGTAAGTCAGCAAAATATCCTATATTTTAATCCAAGTCATGTACATTGAAGTGTTAATCTTTATTTTTAACTCTAAGTGATGAAAGGTAACTTTACAAAATATCTTTCTCTTTATTTATATGCTTTGCTTGGTCTCTCCCACAAAATGAGAAAATTAGTGTACATAATATTTATAAAGATAATTAATCATAAATTTATTTTAAAATTATGTATTAAATATTTATATTAAGGTTATTACATTGAGTACACTATTTAAATATGAAAATAATATGCTATGATTATAATCTAAGAGAACAATATTATTTTATATAATAATATTATACTGTGGAACTTTTAAAATATGTTTTAAATAATTACACTATATGTGTTGTTGAGTCAATTTTTAATTTTTCAAAACATATTTATTTTATATAGTGGTCATATATCTCATGTTTTTAGGACACTTTGATCTTACACATGCCATTCCATTGAGGGACATGAAAAGGAATAACTCTCTAAGTCAATACCTTTAAATGTTTTAATTTAAGCTATTAAAAGATAATTAAATTACAGGTTTTGCTTCAAAATCAGTCTAGCATTGATTTTAAAAATAAAAAGTGAGAGCACTTTTTGGCATCATGGTTTTCACATGCCTTAATACCAATTGAAAATTCAGCCTGGCTGGTGTTGCTCAATGACTGAGCATAGATCTATGAACCAGGAAAGAGGTCACTATTTGATTCCAGGCCAGGGACATGCCCAAGTTGGGGATTTGATCCCCAATGTGGGATGTGCAGGAGGCGGCTGATATTTGAGTATCTTTCATCATTGTTGTTTCTATCTCTCTCTCTCCCTCTTCCTTCCTCTCTGAAATCAATAATTGTTTTAAAGAAAGTTCAATAAACATGAAGCATATTTTGGAAGTGTTTGCTTGACATATAATAATATAAATTATCAAAAAGGACAAAATGTGCTTAACTCTAAACAGTGATGTGACATAATTTAAGAAACATTTCTTAGCATTATGTAAGATTTGTTTTTAGAAAGAAAATATTTTCTCTGTAAAATCCATTTAAGGGTATTAGTTGATTAATAAACATTACTTACTATGAATTAAGCACATCAAACTATACTCATATTTTATTATGACAGAAACAAAACAAATACAGTTCCTGAAATCAATGAGATAACTCACTTAGCCTCTATGGGAACATTAACTTATAATTGCTGTGGTTATATTAATTTATATCCTTGCTTGAATATTAATTCATTAGCATTTTCCCTGTATTTACTAACATTTATAAATTGCTTCATTGGGTACATTAAAATATTTTGGTCAAATATTAATGAGCTTATTCATTGGTGATACATCACTAACTATGATTGCTTAATGCAAAGGATAAAACCTGGGAAGCTAAATGTTTTTATATTAGGAGAGTAAACTTGAAATTGGGAATGAAGATTCATTCAAAATATCCATGAGAATCAAATGTGTAACGTTTAAATGCTATATATCCCACAGGTAGGGGTACTATTGAGAGACTATCATCTCAAACTGTTGCTACTTGTAGTCCCAAGGAGAATAACCAGGCACCTCTGTGTACTCAGCGCCAAGGAGACACTAAAAAAAATTTAAAGTAAAGACGCACGCCCGCCTCCTACATTCTGATTCAGCCACCTAATTAACTTCCTTTCAATGTGCACAAATCAGTGCATTGGGTCACTGGTATATTTAAAATGTCCACTGGTTGTAACTAAAACTAATACACTGTTATCTAAATGTCCATTAATAGGGAACATTTATGTGAATAAATATACCCATAAACACACACATATATGCCAAACTTCTTACCATGTAGTAATCATTTTGTGGAAAAATATAGGGTGGGGCAAAAGTGTTCAATGATGGGAATATATTGTTATATTTCAAGTCTATATACTTGAGTTATATGGCCTTAAATAATCTATAATATGAAATAAGCTATACACCTGACAGAGCAAATTAATTATCCCAGTGTTACAGATGAAGAAGTTAACATTTAAAAAATATTTAACTAGCTTATACTGGGTTGCAAAACTTATCATGAAGTAGGGTTTTAAATTAATTTCCAGACTCCTATATATCTTCACTAACATGTTTACATTAAGAGCCACAAAATAATACTAGGTATCTCAATTTAAAGAACAAATGGGGTGGGGGTGGGAGGAAGATAATTTCAGAAGCTATTTTAAATGTAATATGGAAAAACTAAAATGATCTACACATCTCTGCTTTACATTCTTGAAACATAATTTGTTCTGAAGTAATTTTATGTAACAACACAATTATGAGTGATGAGTAATGAAAACTAAGATATTACTCAAACACACTTCAAATTAATGGTGAAAGCTACAAAAATAAGATTATATTATACTTAGCACTTTATTAAACCTCATATGTGACTGAGGTTAACCTTTTGATTTTAGAGGAGGACACTGAGACCCAGATGGGGCCAACATTCAAGTCCACTATCTCAGTAATAACAATCTTAAAGTGGAACCACCACAAACATGCACTTTAAGTATATGTGCAAGAATGACTACAAACTATGACTCTTCTTCTCACAGAATAATTTCAATATTTCTGACTCTTCTGCTCAGTGCCCTGTCAGTAATCCTTCCAATGTGCTGCATTCACTCTCCAATCTTGCTGATCAGGTAAGATTATCTCCCTGCACCAAACCTTAGCTTGCATTTCTGCAGTTAAGTGCCTGATACTAAGCTTTTGATAAAGCCAACCAAGGAGTTGGTTTTGAAGGTATCTATCACAGATAGACATATGGCCAGCTATATGACACACTCTATGAAAACACC